ATGTGGCCATTTGGATAGTTGAGGAGTCTTTGTAATCAATCAATGGCCACATGTTGTTCTTTCTTCTCCTTTCACAGATTCTAAGGGTCAAAAGCTCTCTCCCTATAGGCCCCCCCTCGGCCCCTGTCTCCCCTTATAATTTAACTATATAAACTGCATTTCTTGGAACTTTGTCTCTTTACTTAACTCTTAGTTATTGTGTATTCTCTTTCTATGTATGTTTAGTTTTAGAGCTGTATATAAACTTTTGCATTTTAGTATAGTATGTTTTAAGGTTATTTTTTTTCAATTTAAATACAGTAAATAGTATAGGCCTATTTGATAGTATGAAAGAAATCAAGAATCATGTCCCCTTGATAGACCATGTTTGGTGGACTACAACACGTGTTTCTTCACACTTGCTGTAAAAAACAAAAACATATTCTCCTTTTCTTGAAAATTTTGATAAGCTTATCAAAATTTAAACAGTAAAATTTACACTCCCAAAATATTCGAAATCATAGTATCATTTCTATCTTTAAATCTCCATGCATCATTAGATTTGGACAAAAAAGTTAAGAGCATATTAGAATAACAAAAAAAAAATAAAAATTCTATACAATTAAAAATTCTTATAAGTACTTTGATACTTTGTTTTTGTGGATGCTCACCTTTACGAAATTAATAAAATTATAAGAAGTATCATTATTATTGGAATATTAGAAATAATAAAGTTAAGATTCTACGAAATTGTTTAACAATATAATGCAGGACAAATCTTTAGACAGATGTCTTGCAAATCATTGTGTTTATGTTTCAATCATGACATAGTAGTACCTTCATGATTTGATTAAATCACACTTTATTAATACGTATAAAAAATCATGGGATTTTACTAAAAGGCTCTTATTAAAATCTCAATCAACAAGTAAACATTACCACAACATACAGAGAGACTGACTACACGGTTTTCGTTCTAAAAAGAATGATCCTTTCTTTGTTATATACATAAGAACCGAGCCAAGTGGCTACATAGACTTATGGTCCAAGCTAGACCTTGTGAACAACAATGCTGAACCATTCACACACCTAAGTACAAGTAACCTACTGTCTATATAAGTCCCACACACTAGCTTAGAAAGATCAAACATTTCCTGCGGTATCTGGTTTCTAACTTCTCCTATCACAGTCTCAGGCGATTCTATACGATCATTCATGTTCATTGTTACTTCAATCTCTCCAGAGACTAGTTTTGCTACAGGAAGACTCGACGGGAACTCTTTAAAGGGCACTACTTTTTTCCATTTCTCGGTTTCAAGCTTCTCAGCTAAACCTTCTTCTGCATCTGGTTCGCCCATTGAGAACTTACCAATGTTCTTTTTTTCTTCTTTGAGATAAAGTCTCTTTCCGGCTACTAGTCTGAACTGGGAGATTGTTTGTAATTTCCCGGTGGCGCCGCTTTTGTTGTGTGGCCAGTCTTTGCTGGTTATGGCAGTGAAGCCAATATCAGAGGCAAAGGAAAGTGACATGTTGCTTGCTTTTGAAGCTTGGGCTATTGTTAAATGAACACTGCCTATTAAGGCTCGTGTAGAGGGCTGACGCAGAGTTAGACCTATGTGCCTTCCGGTTGAGTATAACAGACGCCATCTTCCCGGTAAAAGCTCCAACCAACACTGTGTTTAAACAAGAGATTAAACCACATTTTTTCACTAAATATAACACATTAAAGGTGTAATACATCAAAGCGTAAGGATCATGAGAGTTGTAATTCATACGTTTGGTTTTGGATAAGGATTTAGCATCTCCATTAGTCCAATGAAGTGAGCAAGTCTTTGGCGCTGCAAAAGATTTGTTTCTTTAGTTAGGAGACTGGGAATAAAGGTTCGAACTTATTAAACCAACAGCAAAATATCTCATATATACCTGAGGCATGCGATAAATGTATTCTTCTGAAATCTTTACAGCGGTTGACCCAAGACCCCATCTGATGATATCCATTGATGGGGAAACGCGCCATCTTGGTCCACATAGAAAGGGATGCTTAAGCGCATCCAAGCAACTGCACCAAACACCAACAGATTATTTCAATGTAACTTCTTAGTTCTTACCCCAGTTAACGTCTCTATAAATTGGTAATATTATCGTGCACTTATATTCTGTTACCTTATTCTTTTAGAGGGTCTGGTTGCAATTAAAGAAGATAAAAGGTGCCAACCTGCTCCCCAGTTTCGATCAAGTATCTGACAGCAAATATAGGGCGATGATAAGTAACTGTTTTATATCAAGACAAGTGAAAGAGCTAGCAATTATACTGAGAAGTGCAAGATAGCACATAGCTCTGAGTACTTACTTGAATTCCTGTATTTCCAGATTCCGAGTTTGGATTGAGTATCGTCACAAAGAATTCCCGTAGCGAGGAAGGATCATTCCCCTAAATATACATTTAGAAGAATATATGAACGAACAACATAAGTTTGTAACATCAAACTCATCCATTGATAATTACATCGAACCTACTCTGTAGTCCAGTAAAATACCTTTGCCAGGAAAGACTTCAATTTCGCAAAGACTAATGGATCCATCAGTTCTTGAAGTACCATTTTTGCCATCATGAATCCAACACATCTATGACCATACAAAGGAAATGAAAAATTAGGCTTAGTAATGTAAACAAACAGAATTACAATTAGCATCTCATCTCAAAATACCTCATGTCAAATGCTATCATCATTTGTCTTCTGTCCATGGTACTGTAAGCGCTGCTAGAACTTGCACCATCCCCGTAAAAGTCAGCAGCATTTCCCAGAATCCCGACCTATAAATAAGAAAAAGAAAATTTCAAATTAATTGAAAGATACAAAACATTATGCAATAAGTTAGCCTAATAATCAAACTTCACCACTGAAAGTATATATATACTAACCTTGATATGTCTATCCACAGGGCTGATATGTACATTTTCCAGCCTCAGTTCTGTGTGAGCAAGACCATGACTATGCAAGTAATTTACCTTTAAATTAAAGACCACCAAAAAACATGTTAAGAAAATCATGAAAAAAAGAATGAAGTACTATGCTTTCTTGAAGGAGACAATACATACTCCGATTAAAATATCTCTCATTAGTATACGGATTAGTCTTAATTGCCTTGAAACTGCAGGCCCTCCAGTTGTATCATCCCCCACCCTTCTGAAGGATTCTTCATCTAATGCAAGAGTAGCTTCTAATGTTGGAAGCCAATCAGACTGTTGAAGCCAGTGTCTAATCGAGAAACTTCCATGGCACTACAAGAAGAGATAAAGATTAATGAATGGTAGAAACCAATATCTAAACAGTATATCTGCGTCATTTTAAGGTACTTACCCCATGTACGAGGGTAAATGAGTAGGGATCATCACTCAAGGTATTGGAGATATAACCGTGAACTTGCATTGAGTAAGAATGGTACAGAAGCCTACGACGAACTAGCTTTTTCAATACCTGCAAGTAGTAAAATCTGGTTACCATCCTGAAGAGATTGCAATAAGCAACAAAAGAAACCGAAAAGTAGGACGAACTTCAATGGCTCTTCTTCCCCTTTTTTGAGCTCGAGTGGTATTCAATTTCCGAAGGACAACTCCTTGGTTAAACAAAGGGCTGTGAAATTGAAGCACCACAGATGAAGCCCTGAAATAATCATCTTGTAATCTTGAAATACATTTGAAGTAGATACTGACCTATCTGGAACCTGAACTATAGCTTCAAAGACAAGCTCATCCGCCTGCAAAAAAGGAAGTAAAGTCAATCAGATAAACAGAGACAAATCATAAACCAACATAGAAAACATAGACTTGGTTAAATACCCTGCCGCCATGACCAATGCTAACACGATCAAGAATCTTAAAATCAGACCACATGAACTGCTTCACATGTGCTGATCCATCTTCCACAGAAACGGAAGGACTATTCTGAACATCCTCGTCTATCTCCTCCACATCAGACGACAAAGGTTTTAGTGAAGATGAACAATGAAACTTGACAGGCTTTGCAGAAAACGAACTTGTGGGCTGCCATAGACTACTATTTCGTTTCAAACCAATGCTGGAGTTACGCAATACTTGCAAATTCGGTAGATTTGGAGTCGAGCAAACACCACAGAGTGCCATCCAACAAAAACCCTCTACATATAAATTCAAAAGTACTCAACTTTAATCAAACCCATTACATATATAACCAAAAAACACAGCTAGTTTGACATTACTATTATAGGAAACTCAATTCACCAACACTAAAATCCAACTAATCAAGAAATTCAATATCTTTACACAAGAAACCAGTGGTAAAATGGAGATTACGTGAACATCTTGATTCTTCAAACAATCATTGGTCAATCATTTACACACGAAATGAAAAGCTTACCGATCAAACAGAGAGAGAGAGAGAGAGAGAGAGAGAGAAAGGGATCTGGAGAGACGAAGGAAGAAGGCAACTTCACATTCAAAAATTTGGTCTTTCTTAATTAGACGAAAATTGTATATAAGGACAAAGTGGCTCGTGAGAGTTGCGTGATGAAGTACGCCTGAGGCATCGCGCCTCGAGGTCGACCCACGTCTACCTCCGCCTCTTCCTTTCTCCTTCAAAAATATCTCTCACCCCCAAAAAAACAAAAACTCTTTGGGCCTTCTTAACTCACATCCTCCTTAATGGGCCTTTATTGGACTCTTGTTCTTAGTCACTTGACGGGGGAGCAAGAAATAGCCGAAACCATAAACCGTACTTCTCAATGGGCCTTTAGTGGGCTTAATGAGCTCCAGCTGTATCCAGTTTTTTGAATCGTGTGACGTGGCACTAGCGAGAAATAACCGAAGGACGCACTACTTTTTACCAAAAAACCGGACGAAGAAAGCAAAATTCGATCTGATAACCCAGTGGCATAAAAACGTAAATAACACCCACGATCAGAGGCTAATATAGCCATTAACAAAATTTATCCCTTTAGTCTTCCCCTTGTCTGAAAAAAAAAAAATACAGTTTCTCGTTTTCAACATTGAAAGGGCATTAAGCCTCGCCTCTCTCTCTCTCTCTATCTCTATCTCCTCCTCTATATATCTCCCGCTCCGTGGTGCTTTCGTAAATTTCTCCAATTAAATCTCGCCGGCGGCGGCGATCAACCAAATCGGAGTCTTGTATTTTTTTTGTATTATATACGGTGTAAGATCAAATCAAAATCAAAAGTCTCATAAAAACCTCCGTCTGGTGTTTTTTTTTATATATCTAGGGTTTGAAATCGATTTTTGGGGGGTTTTGTTTCTGAGATTTGTGAGGGAAGATGCCGAGGAGTACGAGGCATAAATCGAGTAAGCATAAGGATGCGGCGAAGGAGTATTCGGATTCGGAGAAAGAGTCGAGTTTGAAGGAGAAGAAGAGTAAAGATGAGAGTGCTAGTGTTAGGGTTTCAAAGGAGTCTGGTTCTGGTGATAAGCGTAAAGAGTATTATGATTCGGTTAATGGTGAGTATTATGAGGAGTATACTTCTTCTTCGTCCAAGCGTAGGAAAGGGAAGAGTGGTGATAGTGGTAGTGATAGGTGGAATGGGAAAGATGATGACAAAGGTGAGTCTTCGAAGAAGACTAAGGCGTCTAGTGAGAAGAGTAGGAGGAGAGATGAAGGGGATGGGGAGGAGACGAAGAAGAGTAGTGGTAAAAGTGATGGCAAGCATAGAGAGTCTAGTAGAAGGGAGAGTAAAGAGTCTGACAAGGAGAGGGATCGGGATAAGGATAGGAAGTATAAAGAAGGGAAAAATGACAAGTTTTATGATGGTGATGATCATCATAAATCTAAGGGTGCTTCTGATAAGCCTGGTAAGATATCTTGACCTGATTCAAATGTTTTGATTCGTAGGAACCTTGAAAATGATCACATTGCCTTTAGTAGTGTTGTTTCGAAAGATTGTTCTTTTGGTTTAATTGACTTGAGTTCTTATCTATGAAGTTGTTTTTGAGACTTGTTATTCTATGCCAAACATGTTTCTGGTTGCCCATTGTTGGATTTGGAAATGAAGTATAAAGCTTACTGGAAGACGAATGTAGATGCCTTCTCCTAAGAATTGGGATCTAGCATCTTTGTATTTATAAGTGTAGACTTTTGAAGTAGTTTTTGTCATTGACATTTTCAGTATTTTTACACGTTGCTTCTATTCTGCTGCCATTTTCCAAGATAAATGGAGTTAGTAGCCGCTTTACTTGCTATTATATTAGAGTTCGAGGCTGCATTTAACTGGTAAAATATATGTTAATTTGATAACTTCTCGTAGGTATATTTGGTAAAGATGTCTCAATTATTTATTGGATAGTTTAGAAAGCTGCAAAATAGTTTTTGCATTGGGTTTGCTAATCACTTTCTTTTCTTTTGGATTCAGAATCAAAAGCTCAGGATCATGCAAGGAGTCCTGGTACCGAAAATTATACTGAGAAGCGATCAAGGCGTAAGAGGGATGATCATGGTACTGGAGACAAGCATCAAGATAACAGTGATGATGTTGGTGATAGGCTAGATGATTACATTAAAGATGGAAAGCAGAAAGGAGAGAAAAGAGATAAACATCGGGAAGACAAGGAAGAGGACATCAAACAGAAAGGTGACAAGCAGAGAGATGAACGACCTACTAAAGAACACCCTAAGTCTGATGAAAAGCTCCTCCGAGATGATAGTAAAAAAAAATCTAAATTGCAGGATAATGACCATGGTCATGAACCTGACAGTGAACTTGATGGCTATCATGACCGTGAACGCAATCGAGACTATGAGAGAGAAAGTGATCGATCTGAACGGGACCGTGACCGAGTTCGGGATCGGGATCGTGATCGTGACTACGAGCGAGAAAGGGACCGTGATAGGGATCGGGAACGTGATCGCGATCGTCGGGATTATGAGCATGATCGTTACCATGAACGAGATTGGGACCGTGATAGGAGTAGAGATCGGGACAGGGATCATGACAGGGACAGGACCCATGACAGAGAAAAAGACCGGAGTCGTGACTACTATCATGATGGAAAACGGAGTAAAAGTGACCGTGAAAGGGATAATGATCGTGATGTGTCGCGTCTAGATGATCAAAGTGGTCGGTATAAGGATAGGAGGGAAGGTAGGAGGTCTCCAGATTATCAGGATTATCAGGATGTGACCTTGGGCTCTAGAAGTAGCAGAGCAGAGGCTGATGGTGATATGATTAGATCAGAGCGTCAACTTTCCAGTTCGGTGGTTCAAGAAGAAAATGGGTATGATTTGTCTATTCCATTGTTGTGATTGGTGCTTTGTGTACTTGGAAACGTTCTGCGTGCTATCTTTGGAATTTTAATGTTTTGATTTGTGGACTTGTTTCTCTAATGGAGATTTGGGCTACTGTTTGAATTACAGATTTTAAAGTGTATGGTTAGTTTTTGAAGAAGATTGAAATTTGAGATTTTGATCAAAACTTTTGTTATGGTGAAACAGGAATGTGTCGGATCAGATAACCAAAGGTGGTTCTTCCAGGGAGGCGGCTGAACTGTCTGGTGGATCAGAGAGAGGTATAAGACATAAAGTTTCTGAGAAAACAGCAAAGATGGAAGATGGTGTTTTGGGCGAGTTCCCCGGTGAAAGGTCCTCTGCTGCAAAAGCTTCACCCCGAACAATGGTTGACAGATCTCCCTCTGCGACTAGTCTTGACCGGAGATACAATAATCGGGGTGGTGGAAGACGGAGTCTTGAGGTTGAAGAAACAGGTCATAGGAACAACAGCAGGGATTTTTCAGCAACTGAGGAGGAAAGGCATCTGGTAGATGAGGCGTCACAGGGAGAATTATCGTTTAACAACAAAGCCAACCAGAATAATTCTTCTTTCCCTCCACGACCCGAGTCTAGGAGTGGCATTAGTAGTCCTAGAGTGGGCCCTCGAGAAGAAGACAACAGGATCAACACCGGTGGGCGTTATAAGAGAGGCGTAGATGCGATGATAGGAAGAGGGCAAGGTAATATGTGGAGAGGTGTCCCAAGCTGGCCATCTCCTCTTCCAAATGGATATATTCCATTTCAACATGTTCCACCTCATGGTGGTTTCCAAACTATGATGCCACAATTCCCATCTCCATCTATCTTTGGGGTGAGGCCTTCGATGGAAATGAACCATCAGGGAATCCAATACCATATACCTGATGCTGAGAGGTTCTCTAGCCACATGCGTCCGCTCGGGTGGCAGAATATGATGGATGCCTCAGGTGCTTCTCACATGCATGGTTATTTTGGGGATATGAGTAACAGTGTTTTCAGGGATGAATCTAACATGTATGGAGGATCTGAGTGGGACCATAACAGGCGAATGCAAGGCCGGGGCTGGGAATCTGGTGCAGATGAATGGAAAAATCGAAATGGAGATGCGAGCTTGGAAGTCTCATCAATGTCTGTTAAAGATGATAACTCTGCTCAGGTTGCTGATGATGAGTCGCTTGGCGGTCAAACAAGCCACTCTGATAATAACAGGGCAAAAAGCGTTGAAGCTGGGTCAAATCTAACATCTCCAGCAAAAGAACTGCATGCAAATTCTCCTAAAGTGATGGCGGAAGTTGCAGCTGAAGATCTTGTTTCAGAAACAATTGATAACACTGAACGTTATTGCCGGCATTATCTCTCAAAGCTTGATATATCGGCAGGACTTGCTGACCCCGAGCTGCTTAAATGCATTAGCTTATTGATGGGTGAAGAACATGTAAGAATTGATGACGGAACTGCCGTGTTTGTAAATCTCAAGGTAAATTCTTTAATCCTGAGACTTAAGACATCAATCATTCTGTTTGTGTACAACTTTGTCAATTTTGTCTCATATCTCTATATCCTTTAAATGACAGGAAGGTGGGAAGAGAGTGTCCAAAAGCAACAGTACTTCGTTAATGGCTCTTTCACTGTTTCCATCTCAAAACAATACAGTATTTCAGGTAATGCCTAAGACAAGGAACTTTGGTAGTAGCTCCTGGCTATTCGAGACATATGGTGATACATTAATGTGATCTTCCCACTTGCAGATAGCTATGGACTTCTACAAGGAGCAAAGATTTGAAATAAAGGGTCTTCCAAATGTCAAAAATCATGAACCTCCTCAAGTCTCTCCATCATATTTGGCTAAAGTCGAAAACAATGATGATCTGAATGATGCAATCAAAGGAATTACTTCAATCGAGACACCAGATGTGAAAATTGCCGAGCTGTCTGATTCAGACACATCCCAAAATGAAGTGCAAAATGTGTCCTCACATGTTGGTACCAAAATGGAGATAGAAACACAAGACGCAGGATCTTCGTCTCCCAACCCAGAAAAGTCACCTGAGGCCCTGAAAGCTATGGTGTCAAATGACATTGAAGACAATGAGCAAGCTGTGGCTGCAGACCACATTGAAGTTGATGAGCAAGAGACAAAGCCAGATGATGGAGGTGGTGTAGACCAAACAATGGAGACAGCTCCTGAGCTTGATGGTGTCTCAGAAGGTGATCCAGTTACCTTGACAGTAGCTTCACCGGCTCTAGTGACTATGGACGTCGATGAGCGGAAAGATTTATCTGGAGATGAGAACATGGGAGAAGTAGAAGAGAAGAAGGAAGCTGGTGACGAGGATGGGGAAGGAGATGGAAGTGTAGTTGTTGGGGATGTATCTCCGAAGGTAACCGAACCATTAGTTCAAGTTCATGAATCTGATGAGTCAGTAATAAGTCGGATACATCATTCTCCTCAAAGTACACATTAAGACATTTCTATATTTCCATCTCATTCTGTTTTGTTTTCTTAATATCTTTTACTTCCAATGCAATTTTTTCTTCTCAAAATTCATTGCTTTATTTTCTTCTCATGTTCTTTTTGTGCCATCTTTACTCATTTCGTGCCGAAAGAAATAATAAAAGAAATAACATTAGAAAAACAAAATTGATTTGCAGTGTCTTTCTATTTTGCTATTTTGAGCTTTTGAGTACAAATTGAAACCCTAAATTCGAAAAGGTTTTGGAAATTAGCTATACATTAATGGCAAATTAGCTACAAACTTCTCTCTAGTCTCTACCTACAAAACAAATCCCTTGGAGCTTAGAAGAAGTGTCTTATTCATAAGTTTCATCAGCTTTGAGCTCTACAATCTTCCTATTCAGGTGTGGAGAGCAACAGGTTCCTGGGTTAGTTGTATGGAGGACAAAACAATGGCCTGGCTTCTTCTTCTTCTTATTTGTAAGAGCAGCTACATAAAACTCTCTAATTCATGAATTTTCTGCAGTTGGTGGACTTACATTGACAAGGCACTTTGAATTCATCTGGCTCATCTGGATCAAAAAGGTAATCATATCTGCAATAACACACAACCATGTCATATTCAATGAATCGAAGGGTGATTACTTTAATCGTGTTCAAGAGAGTGATGTGCATACGTTAACTCCTCGCCAGAGGCTACCGTGGTCTTGGCAATCAGAACAATACGACTTTCATCATCTCCTACACTCATGATCCTTGCATAGCAATTTGGCATACACTGCAGCAAACAACACACCAAAGTTTTCAGACTCAAGAACCTGTTTGTTGGTAAACAAACAAAAACACTCAATTTTATACACATGATGGATTGCTTACCGAATGGTTTATTAGTCGAGCTATATTCCCTTTTTCTGTAGCATCCACCACTACTTCCTCACTAATCTTAAACAGCTGCAACATATTTATAACAAAGCTAAAGTTTCAGAAATCCATTTTTACAACCAATGTTAAGACCGACTTACGCAAGGAAAAATTGGCTTCAACTCACATAGCAATCCTTGCCTTCCTTACGATATCTTGCTTCCCTTAAGTCTGCAATGATTCCTCTCACTTGTTCCCCCCGGTATTCAAGAACCTAAAAAAAGGGATTATATTTCAACATTCTTCAACATGACAGAGGAAAGGAAATTGATTCCCTTCTTTTTAGAAGTATGTTCAGATGGATCTGCCTACCATTTCTCCTTCTTGAATATTTCTTCTTGCGAAAAGGCCCCATCCATGTATACCAGATCGACCAAAGCAAACCCGATCCATTTCTGTCCTCTGTCACAAGACAAAACGATCGTAAGATATTAATACAACAAGATACAGCTACATATATAAAATCTCTTTCAGGGGATGCATACCTGCAAGTGGTGAAGCCGTTCCCTGAATGAGGAAAATGTTTTGGGTTCTTCTGCCACATGCTACACATTATATTTAACAAAAAGACTCAGTCCCAAATTTTTCCTGGTACATTATGTTAATTGGCACTACATAACGGATTTTTCTTACCCTGAATGTGTTCAGAGTTTGGATCGCTGCTGAAGGATGATATCGTGGTCCTCCTGTGTAGTGAGGAATACCCTCTTGTTTTTTCCTCTATAAATCACAAACAACCACATAATGGATCAGTCTACCAAACAGAAGGGTTTTTAACCAATGCATACAGAATTTTTGAAGATACAACAAAATACCTTCTTGCTATTAACCTTTCTTTTATATAGTCGACAACGAGCAGATGAAAATGGATCAATTGGAATGGTATCCTCTGCGGCGGACTCTTCAACTTCTTCTCTATTTGCTAAAATAAGCCTAGACCCCGTTTTCTTCTTGTTTTGAACAAGACTTTTTGCAGAAAAGACCCCTGAAGGCGTTTGTATAATTAACACAGTATCTGGATTCGGAGCCCTACACCAAAAACAGCAGAGAAAACAAAAATCATAACCCAAAATCAGATGGAAAGGATTTTGCAAACAAGGTACTGAGAGCATTTACCTGTGATAAGAACAATAGGACACCATCTTTGTTATCTGTCGACCATTTTTCTCCAAGCAGTGCAACTACAATCACAATGTGCAAATATTACCAAATAAAAAAAGTTATAATCTTAGAGATTGAACATAGTTCATAAACAAAATGTTGCAGCAATATGATTCTGTACTGGTCATGCGGGAGTCAGATAATAAAGAACTTCTTATGGAACAAGGAAAAGTCAGAAATATTATGGTTTACCTCCATTCTATACCCTGCTCGGGAAGCACACATCGCATGATAATATGTAGAGCACTTGCAGCACTGAGTGCATGAGCCATGTATTTGCTTGCATATTACACAAATCTGGAATTTATCAAAAACAGGAAAAGGTTTCCAGCTTTCTTTAGTTTTGCATATAGTGAAACAAGTATCCATGGGAACAAATATGAGATCTAGGAATCACGTATTCACCTTCACAAAATTACTTGATGGAATACTCAATATACCCAAAGCTGGTTCCATTTTTTCTTCACTTGCAAAACATACTTCAGGTTGAAACCAAGCACATGTCACGTGAACCCACAGTGTACCCACATCAGTTGGCTTCAATGCACCTCCTATTTATCAGTACACAGAAATAGGCAAGTTTAGTTGACAGACAACATTGTGAAATTCTCGATGAAACTAAAAGTTTGGAGGGGAATACATGGCCAAATAAGCTCTTTAAGTAATATGCACAGGTGCCATCAGGAACAGTAAAATAAGATAAGACCATGTTAAATATGCTTTCACCAAATAAGAAACGCAAAATGGAAAGACATGCCTTTTACAGGACAAAGGCAACACTCTCGTTTGATCTCAGGTGTCTCGCAGGCTTTGCAGACCCATGATGTGAAGTCGCGAACATTTCTCGTCCCATAGCATTCCTGATGAACTGCTATTTGACATCTGAAGAGAAAAAGGAACAGCAGACAAAAAAATATTCAATGATACCGGAATAATTCATCACAAATCAGATATTTTTCCCGCAAATATAAAAAGAAATAATTTTGTTAATAATAACAGCAACGAACTTCAATTTTACAAGAGATGCAAGTCGATCCAAAGATAGAAGATATTGGAAACGTCAGATCAAGCATGCTCAAAGTTTACGATATGCACAAAATAATGCTTTTCAATCAAAGTCTATGATTTGTCGGAAAACTTTAGAGAAACAACACATTTTAGAACAGCACCTGTTGCAGATAATGATCTTGTTGTAGTCCCAATCTTCAACCCATCTGCAAACTGCACATCGCTCCGTTGTCCACTTAACGTTGACCGGCTCATACTTTTCTGCCAATAGTGAACGAAAGTAACAAACCAAGATAAGCAGCTTATAACGCAGAAGAAACTTTTGGATAGGTTCTGAGATTCGAAATTGCTTAATACCTTTAAGAAAGGAAAGCAACCTCTGCTTTTTCTGCTTTATAGAAGGTCGTTTAGGAGGTTTTACTGCAGTAGCATTTGCGTGGAACTCTGCTAATTTCATCATCTGCAGTATGAAGGAATATGGCATTCAATATTTTTGTAATTGATTGGAAAAACATAAAAGAAAGACATCATATCATATATCCCTAAAGAGAAACAAAGAAAATATGAACAAACCCATTCTTCTAGAGGCAGCTTGGAGCTTTTCACTTTGACACTAGTCCTCCAGTTTTTTGCTTTTGAACCAGTATGCCTTTCCCATTCACTAAGTGCTTTCCTTTCAGGCCCACAAGATCCACATTTACATACGACTCTGTAAATAAACCAAATGGAGTAAGATTTCTCTATAACTATTTCAACAAAGATACCTAAAACACTGATAAGTTAGAGTTTAATAGGCAGTAAAAATATAAACAATGTGAAATAGAGATAAAATAGTGACGGCTTACAAATGAAGGCTTGGAAAATATATGCCTTCAACTCCACAACATACGACGATAACCTTATCAGGAAGCACCATCGGGGCATTGTTTTTGCCAAGTCTATACCAGATAATTTTCAAATTTATAATTTGGTGTTCGCAGTTCAATTGATATTAAGAATTAACAATAACAGATGGAGGGAAAGAAAATCTACTTGGATTTTGAGTCTTGCTTTTCTGAATCTGATAGCTCAAAGTTAAATTTTGTTCTGCATGTGGGACAGTAGTAATCTGTTTCCCCCATATCCTTCAGAATTAACAAATGAAATTGATCTTAATACATGAAAGTAACTGGGAATGATAAACCTTGACAACGATCAACATATCCATGTACCTTAAAATGCTTGCGTGATATTTGATCGCACGCTGAGTGAATCCATACTTTACACCCATCACAACGCACCTGAATCACCATATTTAATCAAACAGTAAAATTACAGAAAACATTAGGTGATTCTACACTACAAATATAACATAAATTTGTATGTTTTATTACCCAGCTCTGACTATCCAAATGGTTCCATATCTTCTTGCATATCCCACAAACCTGTTTTGGTTTTGTCAGCTGCAAGGATAGTTAGTTTTGAGTTCATGGAACTGAAACTGAACAAGGAGCATAGCAAAAAAATTACATACCCTTGAACAAGATTTACACAATAACTGATCTCCGGGAATCAGAGCTTTCATTTTCTCTGCCGTCTTAAACGAAAGGACCATTTTACATCCTACACAGGCTCTTGGATTTCTGTATTTCTTCAACATGTTCTGCAATTATATAAAACTCAATCTCTATGACTATTTAGGAATAAACAATTAATGATCAAAAAGGAAACCCAAGTAAAGAAAACCTTGCCTGGTTTGGAGAAACATGATCAAGATATTGGCTCGAGCCTGCAGCTTCTTCAATCCATTTGTAGACAGAATCATCAAAAGTCGGGTTACCTGCGGCCATGTGAATATCTTGCATCAGTTTCTCTGTGAATCCTTGGTCAGCCAAAAGAGCTTCTTCAAGTGCCTTCTGGAAATCCCCAGGGTTGCATCCACGCAGTTCAGACTGTTCTTGAAACCTAAATAACAACTAAACTATCAAGCAAAACATCGCACATATAAAAAACAACGAATTTCGTATTCATAAGATTCAACGGCGACCCACCTGTCTACATAATCCACAAAAGGGAAAATCATCCCCCTTCTCACCCATGCATAATCCTGCTTACATGATCAAGTTAACAACAGTTAAAACTCTGACAAACAACTTTTAAAATCATATAGGAAGACAATATAATATATACATACCCTTTCATTCTCTGTCCCAGAGTGACCAAAGAACATGACACAGGCTGCATCAGGTATACAAGAACGCAAAACAAGCTCAGGTGCTTGTGTCATTGGATCAATAATAATAGCCGGCCAAAACGGCTCATTTCTCCCAGATTTACCCCAAACCAAATCACCAGAATAAAAATCCTCTGGACCATAAACACCTTCTTTCTTAGGACGAGTCTCATCTTCAATATAGCGTTGCTCCTGAAGAGAAGCAAGTGAAGTCCTCGAACTCATCATATGCTTTTTCATGTCAAAGCTGTTTTTACTATATCTAACAATCTCCTCATCATCTGTCTCTTCTTCAGACAATGCAGTGGCATACTTATAGTTCCTAGGAGTGAATTTAGCCTCATGTTGCTTTATCTTCAAACTATGATTATTACTACTAGCTTTGACTTTCTCCTTCCTGCATGCTGCTTCTTCAATCTCTTCCTCGCGTTCTTCGCCACTACTTTTACTATCTTTCCTCCAATTCTCGATAACCGAATCATTGAACCGTGAAGGAAGCACCTGAACTCTTCCTCTAGATGTCCTCACAACCGGTGGCCGAGAAACTTCAACCACCCTTTCCCTCCCACGGTGGCTAGAATCAGAAACTATCCTCTTTGACTTTAACTCCTCCTCAACCTCAACCTCAACCTCAGCTTGAGGAGAACATGAAACCTCCTTACACCAACTATTCTTCCCAATGAGTTTACCCGGAACAATCCCAGCACCAATCTCCCCAAGAAGATTCAGAGGGTAATAGTAATCACGACCACGACCACCATTGAAGTTGACCTTTCTCTTCTTCTTCTTCCGAGCTCTATCATCTTCCTCAGTCACCGAGCTGCATCGTTTCAAACTCGGCATTCGAGTTTTCAATTTCCGTTTGATTATCATATCTTCTGATTCGAGTTTACCAAATCACTGCATCACAGATGATTCCTCCAACCCAACTTAATAAAAATGAAACCTTTCTTTTTTCAAATCCCACAAACCCTAAACTTTCCCTAAATTCCTGAAAAAGTTCATGCCTTTGAACGAAAAACCAGATAATCCTCCGTTGGGTTTGACCCACTTATCAAAGATCGTAGTAAAGTAGCTGAATTGTATAAGAAAGTTCGTTTCTTTTTGTAAAAAAAATTAAGAACAGAACAACAGAGAGAGATACAGAGAGATCTGTTCCAAAGAAAAAAAAATCCAAACTTTTTCTTCTTCTCTCTCTGTTTTAAGTTATAAGAAGAACCCAGAATCAAAACAAAAGGATTTGAGTACTTTTGTTTTTGATTTGGATAAGGAAAAAACGAAATGCTGAATTTTGTTTAACTCAAAGACGAAAGCTTTTGTCTTTTTTTTTTTGCTTCGGTGAGAAAATTTTAGAGAGAGAGACGGAGAGAAGACGACGACGAAGAGAGAAGAGAGATGAGAAAAATAAAAAAGATTGGTTTTTTTTTTTTGTTTTTTGGGTTATCGGACGTGTGTGTTGCTGTGTGCATATTACCGGCGAATGATGTAAATATGCTAACTTGCGCTTTGATCCTTTCTCCTCTTCCTTGCTTGTTTCATGTCTTCTGGTTTTTTTTTTTTAACAGAGTTTAGACATATTCTCTTCATGTTTTCAGTTTATTAATTTGTTTCTTTCTTTCGATTTTCGAAATAGAACTATGTTTGTTTCGTCTGTGTGTTTGATGTTTTTTATTTGTATGAAATAAGCTCCAAGAACCATGGAACTGGAAACTGGAAGTTATACTTTGGTTCGATTACGACACAGTACACGCGACGCAAGCTCTTTTGTGTTTTGTTTGGTCATTCATTCATAAACTCTTTTTATTTATTGTTTCATCTCATGAACTCAACTTTTTTTTTTGGTAGGCTCAGTTTTCTCATTATTTAACTTTACTTTTCTCAGTGTTTTTTTTTAATAGAGCGTTAGATCGAATTCGTGATTAAAAATATTAAGAAGATACAGTTTAATCGATTCATACAAAGTAAAAAAGGATGAGTAGTTTGAAAACACCAAAAGTATGCTTTTTCAAAAAAAAAAAAAATGGTGAAATTGATGTGTCATGTGTTCGTTCACTGCATTTTGTTATGTTGTAGTACTAGGTAAAGTAAAAGCACTTAAAACAGTTTACACCCAACAATATTTGCCAAAAGTAGTTATTGAACAAGAAACATGTGCAACTTGTTATTAAAACAAGAATAACATTTTCTATTATTAAATTTGGTTGTTCCAACGCATGATAGAATTTGATCTTGCATATATACATGAACGATGTTACTCTCTTTTGTAAAATTGACATAATTGGTGTTTTACAAATGTTTTTACCGGGTGTTAAGTTAAGGAAGTTAATTAAGGATCCTTTCACCCGAGAGTGTAGTGTTTGTCATTGCTATTTGCTCCACACCTTCCATTCTTCCAAGCTGATGAAAGTTCCTTCTTATTAACATTCATCCGCGATACCACGGCTAGGCTTATTGTTCCCGTGAGGCAGCATTCTTCGAGGATTCATCCGCGAAAGGACTGGATTGGTTTCTCCAAGGAAAAAGGTCTAAAAATTGGTTTGATCTTGGGGGATATGTGTGCATTCGTTTTAATGGTTGGCCACATAGAAAGAGAATGCATATGATTACAGGGGAACCAGTAGTTACATGACATGACGTTTCAGCATTCGAATATATAACTTGTTGCAGTGCTTACAAGCAAAGACACATCAAACACCTTTTTTTTTTATATCACATGATCTAAATAGATTATATCTACATATCTCTCACAACCAGTACATTACTTCTTTTAACTACACAATAATACATAACTTTTTCTTAGCTACAATTTCTTTCCTTAAAGCTTATTCAGAGAAACCCCCTTTATATACACATACAACAAACTAATTTGGATGCTTATAAAGATTTTAAAAGTTTATACATAGAGATATATTTAACAAAACTAGTTTCTAATGAGATGAGCTTTATCTCTTTTATTCCACAAGTTTCTTCCTTCTGCTCTGTCTCCACCTTTTCTTTGAGCCCTTTTTTTCTTGAACCATTCTATTTCCTTTCCTCTGTTTTCGCAAACCTTCCTCGGACTCTCGGTTGGCTATCTGCAAGAGCTTTCCTGCAAGCATACTGAAACCAAACCAAACCAAACAACATAATGAGAATTGAGTGCCTAAAATACTGATACTCGAATCATTTAGAGGATCTTGAAGTGTTTTTTGTTTGTAATACCTTGATTTTACGCCCGAAATTGCGCCTGCTCTTCTTGTTCCTGTATCGAGAAAGCTTCTCACGGCGATCCTCTGATGTACAGTTCACAATAATCCTATCCAGTGGAGATTGAACAAGACCTGTCCCCAGTTTCTGCTCATCAAACAAAAACAAACAAAATATACTCAAATCAACAACAATTCATCTTCATCTCAAGAGTTTAAAAGGACACAACTCTGTTTCAAACTAAGTGATACAATTCAGAATTGTTCAAAACTTTGTTTCAACTCAGTTTTTAATGTTTGTGTTTCTAATTTTTTGGGATAGTCGAACCTGTATGTCGCCTTCACTAAAGGCTCTTCGCATCCCATAACCAAAATCGAAATCAGGGAAGTTCTGAATCATTACAGTCTCTTGCTGTGCATGTGACCAGTCCATAGAGCTCAAATTCCCGGAGCTAACGCTCTTCTGCAAATCCTGGTTCTCATCGATATTCGTCACCACAGAGATGTTCTTGATGTCTAAAACATCAGAGAAAGGAGACTCCATAGCTGATTTCATCAAGAGATCTTGCTCACATTCATAAAAAGCTTTGTCAAGAAGCTGTTGACCACTCTCCAAAGAACCAAGATCAAGATCAGGAAGCTCACAAAGCCCTTGTGAAGTGTCTTCACCGCAAGAGATCATAGTCAAAGCAGCAGAGAGTGGATCAACCGCTAAGAGTGGCTCTTCAAGAATTGGATCAGGAGCTTTGAAAAGATCACCTTCTTCTCCAATATCATAGTCAGATATGTTTGATGACTCAACAAAAGTGTTGTTCTGCAACAAAAAAGATATCACAATCATAAGTAACATCGAATCAAAGACAGAACATAGTTCGAGACATTGAGACAGTGAAACATAAATCTTTTTTTGTTGAGTGGATTCGTTCAAAAAAGCGTGTAATGGAAAAAGAGATTCTTGTATTTTCTTTAGTGGAGATATTGTAAGCAAAGTGCCAATGAAATAGAACTCAAAAAACAAAACTTTCTAGTTTCTAGAGTAATTAAATTCAGAAACAGAAACAAGTCTTGAAGAACACGGAATCTCATGTGAAGAATAAAAGAGCAAATTCCAATTACCAAAATCAAAACCCACAAATAAAAAAAGAGACTTTCTTTGGTTTTCCCGAGAAAACTCCTTTTTCTCTTTTCTCAATGGAAAATAAAAAAGAAAATTTTGGCTTCTAGCAGCAGAAAAAAAGATTCCGTTTTTATTCCTTTACAGAGTTTTTTAAGAAAAACAAAAAACCTAATTTTTCATTTTTTTTTCTTAGTTAACTTTCTCAGCAGCCAAAAACACAACTTGGGTCAGGTCAGCGGAACCAAAATATCTCATCAAGTGGCCACAAATGTTTCACCAATAAAAAAAAGAAGCTTATGAGCTACTAAACACTTCAACACCACGAAAACAAATCAGTTCACACTTTCAGTTTTAACCCCAAGAAAAGACAGAAAAAAAGAAGATTAATTACATCATCACAAGACAAAAACAGAACCTATCAGAATCTTTAATGGAGTTGTAAAATCAAGAAATCTCAAATTTTTTAAAACCCCCATCTCAAGAAAAAGATCTGTGTTCTATCTAATGCAGTGAGTGAGTTAGATAAAGAGTGAATGGGAAAAAGCATCAAGATTCAAACCATATCATCGGAGAGTTTGTAAGATTTGAAGAGGTCTTCGAATTGTTGAATATCTGTGGAACAATTTTGCATGTAACGGAGCATTAAACCAGAATCTTGATACATTTTGAGTTCTTGGTCGTCTTTGGGAGAGAAGTAATTTGGAACTAAGAAATGGGTTTTTGATGAGGAGAAGAAGAGGAGCAAACATAAGAAAGCAAGAAACAGAGGCCAAGTTGGGAATTTGAGAGGAAACCTTGAGGGGAAAAAGTTTGGTACTTAGCTCCTCTTGCCTTTTTATGAAAGAGAGATAAAGAGAGAGAGAGGCTTATTACAGTTTTTTGGTTTATTGGGAGATACTGTGGACACGAATAGAGTGAAAAAGGCCCATAAGGCCATTACTATTATATTTAATCAATAATAAAACAATTCTTTTGTTTTTTGGAACAAAATAGTAAAATATACTTCCAACATAATAATTAAAACAAAAAAATATATATATAAAGGAAGAAAAAGGTGTCCAAGTGCATAGAAATGTCTTTTTGTTTGTGTAATTAAATTATTAAATTATTTATCTTTACATATATATATTTATATATATGTTACACCGACTAGGGTTTAAGCATTGATATTTTTTTGGTAAAAAGGGTTTTATTTATTTTTTGGTAAAGAGGGTTTTTTTTTTTTTGGTAAAGAGGCTTTTAGCATAGTGGTTTAATTTGTGCTCATATCGTAAATTTATATTATCGATGAATTTCAAATTATATTATAGAGAAAATATATACAATGTTAAGAATCCATCTAAACACAATAAAAAATCATTCATGCGTTTTAATTTTGACTAAATTGGTTATAATATCAGTATGCTAAAACTGTTACATTTGTAAGCGTTATTTTTTTTATAACTGTTACATATTTATATAGCTAAAAATGGTATAATAATGATGTAAAAACAATTATATGAAAGCCAGATTATTGTCTAATATTTATCTTTTAAATTTGGTCATTACTTGTGGTAACCTTTATGCGATCTTTTCATCAAGAATAATACTTTACTAGTTTTTGGCATTGTATTTTTTTTAGTTGCTTATAACCATTTGTTCACATATAATAGAAATCACTTTTTATCATGAAATTTTGAAGGTGTTTCTAGATAACATTTGTATCCAAAGTTTTTGATATTTGAATCTGATTTTTTGAGCTCTGATTTATTTATATTAAGAAAGTAAAAATTATGTAAGCATGCAATTAGAAACAGGTGCATGACGACTTGCAAGAGAGGAAAAATCCATTAAGTGTGTCTTTGTCTCTATATATATTTTTTATCACATGTCTTTTTTATATTTATATATTCCAATGTTCATTTTGTTTGTTTTCAATCATATGGTTCCTTTTTCATTTTATCAAAAAAAAAAAAAACACTGTTACAACTGTACTTTGATTCTAACACGCGCTTACGTATTTTCTTGCCAACAACAACATCAACTTTTCAAGTTTAAAGAATTTTATTGAAAGGAAATAAGATTTTTTAAAATTGTCAACAACAAAAAAAATGTCTTAAATTAAACTTTTATCTAGGATTGAAAAAAAAATTATTTAGTAAAAAAAATCAACTAATATGAATTTTAGATCATATTATCCATAATTAATTTATAGCGTATGCGGCTTATCTCCTAAATCCGTTATTATGTAAGTTTAATTTCAAAAATTTTGACGATAGATATTTTCTTTTTTTACAATTACATCAATTCAAGAATCTAGTTCAATCTAGAAAATAATACAAATAGTGATAAAAAAGACAAAAGAATTACGATAATATCATAAGTGATTGGGATAGATAAGTTGAAATTAAACATTAAACAAGCGAGTGATGTTGATTAGGTTAGATTTTTGTCAATCTTTGTTTTGCTTTTGTTTTGGGATTATTAGACTTTATAATATAGTTTTTTTTTGTATTATTGCTTTTGTAAACTAAGCAATCAGAGAGGGATTATTTAAGCTAATCAAATTGATTAATGCCTTAAGGGTGTTTGTGTGGTACGGCAGCAACTGGTGAAGAAGTAACTGACTGTTACACAAAACACGAAGCACATGTTAGTGTGGGGCTCTGCATTGCCTTGTTCCTCTGCCACTTCTCTTCCTCTTTTACTTTTCTACATGACCAATTACATATTTTAATATAATCGTTTCTTTCTCTAATTTAATAAGTTTTTGTTTTGTTTTGTGTTTTACAAAAATACTAAAGTTTGATTTCAAAAAAAATAAATATATTGATTGTAATTAGGACTATATGAGGAATAATAATAAAAGTTGATTTTTGGGCTCGCCATTATATATATATTCGAATCAAAGATAATTTTTTAAAAAACAAAAACACACTGATGATAGATAAAAGACAGATAGAGATATTTTTGTCTTTGTTTTACTTATTTCCTGATGAAGACACAATTTGTTTTGTTGTTCTTTCGTCACCATCTTATTCATGGCAACCAAATGTGATGATAATTCACAATCATATCACTTTAATTTTATAGTAATATATGTATGTAAAATTAAAACTAAAACACAAATATAGCTTTAACACCTGCACCTATATGATCTTTGGGTATTACAGCTTCATGATGCAGCTAATTGGTATAATTAGAACTTAGAAGCAGCTATCTCCACAAATGAATATGGATTTCATTAATCTAGTAGGTGTGTCATTTAAGAATTATAAATTCGGATTTGATACGTAATAATTTGGTGGTATTAACATTGGAGTCATATTAACAATCTTTTGTGATTATTAAGTACGTCATGACCTATTTTATAAGAACAAAGCTACCTGTTGATAAGTCTCGAGTTGCGAAGATCGAAGAACAAAGCCCTAAGATCAAATCCACTGGTTCTCCTCTAAATTTGCATACAATTCACAACATCGCACGAAACTTATCGAAACGTTTTTAAATAATTACGGAAGTAGTACTGTATCCTAGCTAGACACTGTATATATAAGATTGCACTAGAACATTCTTTTTTAAATTATTTAGCTATTGATAAATTCTCCATGTCAACATCTAATTAAGTTGTATGTGCAAACTAGCTAATCAAATAGGGTATTCAAGTATCATAAATGACTTACTAGAATACATTTTTCATATAGTATATAATGTTCACGCTTGAAATGAATATGAAAATTAACTATTGGGGATAGTTGAGTAGAATAATCTTTAGTATATAATTGTATTTATATTCACGTTAATAATCATATAGAATTGTATGCAATTTACGTGTGTGCTTGTGTGTGTGTATTGAGGCATCCACGCGCATACACGTTCACTTAAAAAGGTGGTTCCAATAATGGGATTCGTCCGAAACAGTCTCTATATCAACTTTTATACAGTAGTACTGATATAAAATCACAAAAATCATGAGCTAATAACTATTGGCTTGAAGCTAATGAAAACACTCGAATACCTACAAACTAACCTTACTTAATTAGGCTATAATCTCAGCTAAATAATTCCGGAATGTATGTTTCATTACGTACGAGACCTTGGATTGAAGGAACATAACCAAAAGACTAATCTCTAAACTAATTTACTAACTTAATCTAAAAGACGATTCAACAAAATTTGTATGAAACAATATGTAGGAATCTAAAAGACTATTCAACACAATTTTGAAAATAGGATACATGCGTAAACCATTAGTAATGAAACCAGCTTTGTCGAATAATTCTGTTATGTATATGTCCCTAACCAATGCATTTACGAGGTAATGGACAAAAGATCCAATAGCTTTCAATCAAGTTATGGAGAGAACAGAGAAGAATCTCAACGCTTAAGTTGATTCATAAAGTAAAACTATTTAACAAATATAATTTGCAGTCACAAAATATAAGAAATTTATAAAATGTTTCTACTTTTTTCTTTGTCAACAAAATTATTTACCCAAAAGTCTTGAACCATACAAAAACAAAACAAAAAACAAATATATTTATTATTTAAAAAAAAAACTTTGTAAGGGCATCATTATTGGGGGGATCTTAGCCTCTAAGATCCCCCAATAACGATGGTCTAATATCTCAATCAGTAGAGGTCCTAGACTCCCCCTAGTTGCAATTGTCTCCCGTGAAAGAAAAAAAAAAAGGAAAAAAAAACAATCATCAGAAAGCTGAATTTGAGTGAATAAAGGCACAGTGCAACACTATAACCTTAACATTCCCTATTCTGGTAATAAAATTATATTAAAAAAAATAAAAAGATATAAATAAATCGAAGCAAAAAAAAGCTAAAAAGGTCATGCCAGATACGACCTTCTTAGCCTAGCCACTCACTTTACAGTTTCCCAATCTTTTTCGTGTTCATATTGACATGAGAACAATTGTTTTCAAGCTTTGAATCTTGTTCTCTTTTCTTTAGTGCGTGTGTTTTGAAAAAAAATGTAAATATACGAAGGAATTGAAGTTCAATATTTATGAATATATGATTGGGTTTGATCGATTACTCACCAACCAACCATACTAACGAAGAAGAGAAGTCATATTCATATATACGTGATGATGATGATAAGGTGAAATGAATGGAGACTTTTTTTTTTTGTGTGTGGTATACATAGAATTTTCATTTTGATTGTTTGTTAATTATTCTTTCATTTTAGAAACTTCATATAGCTGTTTACAACCAGAAAAAAAAAATAACTTCAAATAGCACAACGATAATACTATAGATTATTTTATTTTGTTAAAGCAACGAGAATATGTAAGTTTTAACTCTCCACTAGTTCCAAAGAAGCATTTCAATGAGAGAAGAGAAGAGACAAAACACAATACAAAGAACAAAAGGTCTCCCCCGTCACTCATTTTGGCCATTTGATTTTGTCGGAATTTAAAAATATTCATTTGTCCAAAACCCAAAATAAAATTCTACCTTTGTGCGAAACAAAAAAATGTAAAAAGAATGAGTTCAATGAACCTACTTCTTATTTATGTACTCTATATTTTTTATTATAAAAAAACGAATACGTTCACATACAACTGAAAATAGTATTAAAACTTTTATTTGTATTTTTCCATATGGATTTAACATTTTATTGCATACTAATCCATGATTTAGCTGGTGTTTTTTCACATAACTCCATACAAAAAAAAAAATATATGTTACCAAAAAAATATATGGAAACAAGAAATAGATTTTTGTTTGGAACAAGGAATACTAAAAAGGATGAAAGTTAAAGCAATATAATTGAAAAAGAATACTATAGAGTTTTGTAATATTCAAAAATAAAAGTAAATTCTTTTTTTTTCATGTAAATGAAAGAGATGTGGATAAAACGAAAACAGCTGGAGAGATGTTTGCGTGTTATAGAGACGAAATTTGCATCGCAAAATAGACAATAGTTGCTCTCTCTAGTTTCATCATCATCATCAGCACAACTTTTTTATTGTTCTCTTTTTAGAAATAAACTTAGAATCTATATTATATACATATAGTTTACGGCAATTGGCAAAAATGCATCTTAAAAAGACACGTGTATTTTAAACAGACATATAAATCCACAAAATTGTAATATGAATATGAAACTTTTTGTGATATTTTACAACAGTATACAAAATAAACTCTAAAACAATATTATTCTAGAAAAACAGAGACAAAACAAAAAATTATTATTTTATTATTTATATTTACATAATAACTGTGTCTTATGTTTTTTTTTTTAATACATTCTCTCTAACTACATATACAATGAAAACATAAACAAAACAAAAAATGAGAAATTGAATAAACTTCTCACACTTGTACTTTTTCTGTATTTCTTCAATAAAATTTAGTTTTTTTGACAAATTTTCTTAGTCAAAAATTAAAATATACTTTAAAAGAAACTAAAGTATTAATGATCCTGTAAAAATCCTTAATCCCATCGAGTTATCATCGAGGAAAATTGTTTTTTATGCCTTAACATATGTTATTAAACTATCATTTCCTATCAGAAGATGTTTTGTAGTACGAATATTTGTAGACAAAAAAACGTGTAGTACGAATGTACAATTTCTTTGGAAGATATTTATTTTTAACCCACCGATTTTATTTTTTTAAAATTCTTTTTTGTTCTTGTGTTTTGATGTTCCATAGATTCCATTATTCCCTTCTTTTTATCTGGTTTATGAAGGTCACCACGAGGCACTCACTATAGTACTTTTGCCTTTTTGTCATTCTTTACGTGCGGTAAAAATAAAAGAAACCAATGTCTAACTAAAAACAAGTCTTGAGAAAGACTCAACAAAATGTGAACTTAAAATATGAAAGACTCGATAAAATGATATAACGAAGCTTAGGTATAGACTACAAATACTCAGCCACCTTGAAAGAGACAGTATCGATCGACGAAATCATTTTGAAATTTGGTTTTACAACTACGTACCTTTTATTTATTTACACCCTAAAGCAAAATGTGCTTTGTTATATTAGATCAACAAAGATACATCAAATAGGACAATAAGAGAAAGAGCCATCTATGGTGACATATAATATGCGAGAGCATATATGTATTTGTTAGTGTTTTATAGTGTGAGTGTGAGTGTGAGTGCAATTAAATTACAAGAAATAATAATGATGATAGGGATATTTCTCAAAATAATTCAATGCATGTATTGAGTCTTTGACATTCGTTACTGATATATTTTATTTTTATTTTATGGAGTTGTCTTTTTACTGTTCTTACAACTCCATAATAAAGGTCTAAAACTTGATGACAATGCACTTGTGACTTGTATGTTAAAGACTCGAAATCTTGTGATTCTCATTTGCAAAAAAAGATTGTCTCGTAATTTAAGTTAGAGATTAATTTTTCTCGGACATATATAATTAAGTTAATCATTTTATTTGGTTAGGTGAATTATTATTATGTCTTATACGTATTAGAACTTATGTGAGTGAACTAATCGACGACTACATATTTATTTTTTTTTTTTTGAATAATCAAAGAGGTTCTTGGCCAAAGCCCATACATCCTCTCAGGCCCGAAACCAAAACATGTTATATGGTTTCGTCCCAAGCGCTACTCGAACCGGCGACCTCTAAGCTTCTGCCAGAGATCTTTACCAATTGAGCTATTAGCACTTGGTCCGACTACTACATATTTACAATGAAGAGGTTAGGTAGGTTATGAAATTTTGGATTGATGAGTATATATATGTACATATACAATACTGTTTTGTGAAGAGTTGATAATACAAAATTGATACTAATATTTTGTATAAAATCTTCTTAAGCTATACCCTAGCCACGTACATTTTGTAGTGGTAAAGAGATGATGACTAAGAAAAAGCCATTATTTTTCAGTTTTTTTTGTTTTTCCTTCTAGAAATTATTTTCCTTTAATTCTTTTAAAGAAGAGCCATGATTTCTTCTCGCTATATGAATGTAGACAAATTTACATTATTATTTTACATAATTATGTGTTGTATATATATGGTCCAAATTTATTGAGTGTGTGTGGAAAGTGTCATTTTAAAAATTCTTTAAATTAAGTGGCAAGTGGGTGTTTTTTGGTTTTTTTTTTTTTTTGTATTTTTGCTTTGACTCAATAGAGTTTGAGTTTGATCCCCTATCATGTTGGGTCTTTTAGTTTCTTACTAACATTGATGTCTTGTCGTTTCTTCATCTCACGATAGTGAACATTACTACATTATATTTGGCGTTTCTGATACAATCAATGGATGCATTTCTCTTTTTGGTTCCTACGAGAGACTAATCAACACACTCGGTAGTTTTTCAAGAAGGTCTCTGATTCGTTTATATTTTACATGCACTTTTTGGAATACGATGCGAAGATATATATGTAACCAATGCCACACTAGATCTCTCTTAATGCCATTATTGTAACCAATGTATTATTATTACTGTAAAGACGATTCGACTGCACCTTTTGTTTTGTTAAATTATAATCTCGAGTGATTTGATAACTGATTCAAAATAAAGTTTTACTTACCCATCATCATATGTCTTATATCTCGACAAAACAAGTTAAGTATAATGTGGTTTATGAACATGTATATATGTCATAGTTCTTATCGCTCTTAGCTAGTATTATAGTGGTCGTCTAAATATATCATATATATAAACTACCTAATTATAATATAAAACAAAAACCTTTTAAAAAATACAGTATAAATGTTTCCTTAATGAAATTATATTAAAACAAAAAAAAAATATTAAAGGCAATTGGTTAGAGGAGTTAAATCACTAATGTCGGATTCAAATCCAAATATAGTTTAAGACATGAAAAAGGATGATTTACAATCGTCAGCAATGTTATGTAACTATGATATGAAGCAAAATGTTGAAAATTTAGGTATAAAAAGGTTAATTTTGTAAATAATGTACATGTTATATAGCTATGATGTGATAAAAGAATGTAACCAACCAATTATATAGTGAAACATGTTTTTGTTCATTGGTCTAAGCTAAGTGTACATTCATTATCAAAAAAATGGGGGACTGCTACAATTCACATGGCAGATCGAATCAATCTATGTTCATATATTTGGTTATATCTCCAACATTATCTTCCTACGGAGATTGAGATTGATGGATCTTTACTAAAGAGAGTTCTAACACTGGATTATAAATGGTTGATGAAGTTAATGATTAAGAAGAAGATTCATTTGGTGTTTGTCTCTATCAAATAATTGATGAATATCGACAAGGCCATATATAGCCAATTAACATCTAGACCACTATATTCTTTGCTTACACTAAAACGATCTGAAATGTCTCTCACATTTAAAGAAAAACACTATCCATAGTTTTAACTTATGAATTGTTTGCATTTTTTTTTTTTTTTTTTTTGTCATCATTACAAATTATACGTCTCTTTTTTAGAGGGACCAGGCTCGAACCCGGATCTGGTGAGAAGGCAACAGAGGTGGGAACCACTAGCCCACTTGTCCTTCTCGAACATAATAATAATGTTTGAAAAAGGTATTTAAACTGTGTTATAAGTACTTGATAGTGTAAAATTGTAACTTTCAGATTCTTTAACCCTATATAGTGAAATCTGCAAAGACAAAAATAAAGAGACTTATTTTCACATAAAGACAACTATATAGAGCAAACAAGATATATAGCACGAAAACAATTGAACGGTAGCTAACGAAAGGACCCAAAAAAATATTAATCCCACTTCTTGAATTATTACCATAGATATAAATATAATTTTTATCATCAGTTTCTTTTAAAAACGAATGCAAATACTTTTATATTCTTTTTAATAAAAACACGTATATATATATATATATATATATATATATTTCTTTGTTTTACAAAATATGATTGTGCTGCTGATAACACATCATATTAAGCAAACGGTGTAAGAGCGGTTCGGAGCAATCTAATCACCCATATATAGCTAGATGTTAGAGCAACATAACCGCAGAAACATGAACGCCATTCACAGCGTAGATCTTGCAATAAAGGTCATGTTAACAACAATGAGGGGGTTGAGAATCGTTTACTATCAAAGTGAATGCATTTTTACACAAATGAGGGACGTTGGGTTTGCATTTACGTAACTAAGAATGATTCCTTATGTGAAGTTGAAGGAAGAAGGTTGTCGAGCAACGACGCAGTGGACCACATTCCCAACTTACCCGGTCTGGACCACAAAGGTGTATCGTGGTCCCTGTTTATCTTTTTGCTGAAAACGGCTGATCCAATATGCCCCAACTGAAAGAAGAATACCCCAATGTGTCACCCACACGGTCACGTGAGTCAGACCAATCACTCTTAGACAGGACGAACAGAGGACAAGTACACAATGATACGAAATTTTTGTCGGTGCTACGTGCTGAGTCATATGAATTAACAACGATAACTGGTTTTCTTGAACAGTTCCAATCAACAAACACCAAAGAACCACAAAGCTAAGGACGTTAAACCGAACATGAACTTGCTTTCAAAGTAGACAAAACAGAAGCAGTAAGTAAAAAGGGAACAAGTTTTTAACAGATGCAACGAAAAGCAAGTTGGTGAAGATGCAAAAATGGTTTTTTTTTCTTGGCAGAGAGACCAGACGACGACAGGAGCATCAGTTTATCTTTGCGTTTGAGAAGTCCATCTCTGGATGCTGCATGAAGGAAAACGAAAAAAGAAGAGATCCGTCCCATATTAGAAAACAATGGGATAAGCATTGAAAATAATAAAAATGTGTTAGGAGGATGTAACGTTTTTACCTCAGACATGAATTTCTTGAGAATCTCTTGCTTCTGTAGCTCGTCACTTGTTGGAAGACCCATCTGCTTTTGCCTTTGATCAAACTGTGGATAGAGAGAACAACAAAAACACTCAGTATCACACAAGAAATAACAAGAAAAGCTGACGATTTGAGATACTTAGAAGACAAGTACCATCATTTTCTCAACAGTCTGGCGAGTTTCTGGGTCAAGGTCACCTAATTTGCTGCTCTCTGGTTCAACTTTCTGAGTATCTATTTCGGGTTCACCTTTCACACAGCATTTCCACCACTCCATCTGATCATGCTTAGTCAAGAGAATCGAAATCACCTTTTGATCCTCTGCAAAGTATCATTTTAACCATTATATAACAATAAGCACTCCATTCTTCACCAACAAAGAAGTTCAATGTATTGATAATTGTTCAGATGGAAATTAGGCAAATACCAATATTCCAGTAGCAGTCATCAGGTTTCACAGATCGGTAAAGCTCCCCCTACAATTATTCAAAGTTTGCAAATTTAGCAAGAATATGAAAAAGATATTTCATCCTACTAGTGTGAAACTGGAATAGTTTCTTATAGACAATAGCAGAGGAAAGAACTTACATCGATTATTGGATCCTGGCCTTTGAGACCAACCTTGAGACGGTTTTTCTTAATCTCACATACAACAGTTCGTGCTTTAGTGCCAGTAGGCACTGGAATGTTAACAGTGACCTCCTGGAGACTCTGGACCCATGAGTAGTTCTCAAGATCAGTTCCATTACCTTTATTAGGAACTGCAAAGAAACATCCAAAAAGTTGACTCGAGATAACAAGAGAACACAAAAAGCTCATCATAGGATTATTTAGAGCATAAGATAAAATCAAAACTACAACCAAGTATAAAATCCATGATGTTGTGCTCTCACTAGAGAGACATCAAGTTGATGTTGAAATTGGTGTTAAGTGAACACTTAACAGAACCCATTGATGCTTAATACCTCATAGAACAACTATCTAATAACCGCCACTGATTCAAAGTCATAGTTCTTTACACTAAGTTGAACAAAGGATATAAAACATGATCAAGATCAACCAGCCCATTCAAGTATTCACAGTTTAATGTCAATCAAAGTTCCAATCCTAAGAACACATACCCTAAACCTAATCTTCAAATAAAACATCTCAAGATCAATGACATGCCAAGTTCCCAGATTCATTCTCATTAAATCTAGTTAAGAGAAAACGATTCAACATTTACCAATGGGACCAGATTCTTTCTTCTCCTCTTCCTTAGGCTTCTCCACAACCATAGGCTCAGCACTTGAAGTAGCCACACTCGGCTTCACACTCTCCTTCTCAACCTTCTTCTCCACAGGTTTAACACTAACCTTCTCAACAGGCTTCACCGTCTCTTTCTCAGCTTTCTTCTTCTCAGCCTTCTTTAACTTCTCCTTCGCCGCCCTAACCGCGAAGGCGATCTCCTCCTCCGCGGAAGTTTTCTTGAGAAAATCGCTCTGTTCTCCAAGAAAGTCAAAAACTTTCTCCAAAAACCCTAATGGGTTTGAAGAATCGAACGTCGCCCTAAACGGGAGCATCGTGGGTCGGCTGCTACTGCTTTCTTCTTCTACCTCAGAGATAATCGCCATGTGGGGTGGTTTCGTTCTAGGGTTTTGCTCTACTCTTGTTGGGTTTGAGAGTAAAAGAAGAGAGGGAAACTGTGAAATGGAGATGTTACAAGATTCGATTTTGGAGATCAAAGCTCTTCACTTTGATTTGGGAAAATGAAAAGCCTCAAATCGAGAAGGTTCGAGAAGAAGTAAGCTTGAGTGAGAAAAAGAAAGATTGTTATTTTAGTCACACAAACAAAAAAAAGGAAAGTTTTAATTTTTTTACAAATAAAAATGATTTTTTATACAGCGTACTATGAACTATATATTAGCCAAAACTTATCAGTGAAAATAGGATATTAGGATATTTTCAGTTATGAATTAATACAAAATAGACTTTCTCATTATTAAAAGAAAAAAGTAACTTGAATTTTAAAACAACTTTATAAACTCAAGGAGAAATTAAAAAAAAAAATACAAAAATTTCAAATTATATTTCAATAATATTCCGAATCTTTCCATAATTTTAACGAATGATAATTACGGAAATATTAAATCAGTTAGAGAGTAAATAAAGGTTTAGCTAAAAATCTATAAAGAGAGAAATTTACTAAGTCCATATATTTCCCCTTGGGTTTGAGATAAAGTTTGGCGTGGGCCAAAATAATTTTACATAAACCAAAACCTGCAGAAGCCTAACAAGGCCCAACAAACTTCTAACTTTTAACATTGGACTCCTCTATACATCTAATATCAACCTTTGACATAGGCCATACATATTTCACTGAATGAGTTACTACTTACTAGGTTTTATACACACTGTAAAAAACAAAAGAACAAAAAGGCGTACCACCTAGAAGAAGAGATACAAAACAAAGTGCAATTTGATATTAAATGTTTACTCAGAACAAGAATTGAGTAATAGGTGCAACCACCCAAATCATTCTTCTAGCTCGTACTATATATATATCTCCCAGTCCCGGTGACCAACGTTGAGAATGGCAATGCGAGCTGCCATTATTGCTATCTGATTTTCAACCAGCCGAAGATTCTCTTCATCTAGCCACTACTGATCAGATTAATGTTCTTTTTTTATTATTACGTACCATTCTATGTGAGCCATGAATACTAGTACAATCGATCGCATCATTGCCTACCGTCTCTAGTTTTGAGTTTATATATAACAAAAGTTCTGATATTTCTTAAACAACATATTTCTGATATCTATAGTATTAGTTGTGTAGAAATTATAAAAATATAACTAAGTGCATGGTACGTAGGTGGTAGTTGGTTTTAACTAAGATTCATCATGTTGGTCTACTGGCAAAGACCTAATTCTATTAGCCATGAAACTATTGCTTAAGTAGCCACTCACTCGTAAACGTTTTAAGTGACAAAATATTCAAATCTTTATGATGAACATCAAGGGGGTTAGTAACCCTAATTATCTCAAATTTTTATAGAATGATAATTTACTTTCGAATAGTTCTTTTCTTTTTTTCTTACCTGACGTGGTAAATATTTTAACGGTTTAGACAATACAATAAATATTGGTTCTGTAAAAAGAGCAAGAAAAGACAAGAGAATGTGAATCCATATCCAATGTATCCATCTCTTTTGTAAATTATTTTTGATATTTTTTTTTTTTTGAGATGGTTAAAAGTCGTTTTCTAATCAATCGAAATAATGGTAACCGTTTTCTTTAGCTGCAGTAAAATTCAGATGGACATTAATTTACAATTTGGTAATCAATAAAAATGGCTAGTCCCGAATCGTAGCTATAGTAGTTGGTTGTTGTTACAAAGAACTTAATTCATTTAAAGATAAAAGTTAAGTTTACCATTCCCATAGAGAGTAGTGGAGAGTAAATAAAAGTGCACACACCATGCATTTATTCATAGAAAGAAGCTGTCTGAAAACTCAACCGAAATGTGTAATACGTACATTAATTTGCAGAATAAACACGTTTAATAAGATCAAGATTTTTTAAACCAACAAAACAAGAAGAAGAAGAAGAAAAGGTTTTGTCCATATCTGCATATATATACATCTACGAGCAATGAATTTTGTACTTGTGGTTGTATTGATCGACATAAACTTCACTTTTCGTATATTTGTAACATATTTGATGCTTATAATTTGAATGAATGACCAAAAAGTATTGTCAGAACAATTTCTACGTTTGGTAAAATGATAATTTATTCGAGTTTTACATTAAAAGGGAACATTAAATGAATTTTTTTAGTACACAAAAGAAAATCTCTGGTCGATATGGTTGGCCCAAATAAAATTGAATAGTACCTACCAACCCATGTATTCGTGGCATTGGAGTGAATAAGTGATCAATGATTATTATGTTTAGGTCCATATGGTTTTAAAAGGAAATGGTGAAGAATAGTACGTACTACTATAAATGAGGACATTAACCAAAGAACATAACAAGAATTAAGCCAAGTTATTGGTAATAACCATTGATCTCTCATGAAAGGATAGGAAAATTTAATTTAAAACCTTGGTTTCTTAACTTAGATTACTCGTTTGGAAGATTACTTAAGTAATTACTTGACTATAGAGTGTCATGGACACAACAAAATATGTAGTCTCAGACTCTCTCAGTAATTAATTTATGTTGGTGAAGTTAGTATTAGTCAGCAGAGTAGTCATTAAAATTCTCGTTTCCCGAGGAGTTGAATCTTACTATATTCTAGCGATTTGACCACTACGATTTTTGTAGATTAATTTAGATTTTGGGTTCTAAATTCTTTTTTGAGATTACTGTATAATGCGTGATGTCCACCTGATGATGTCATTAAGACAAACCATAAAATACACTGACATGAAGATGAAGTAGTAGTTATGTTCATAACCAAAGAGTTCATAACCAAAGAGTTCATAACTAAAACCGTGTAACTTTACTTATATATATAGAGAGAGAATATAGCATAAAGTGACTGTGAGTGAAGAAGTTAAAAGCACCCTCCCACAAAACTTGGAAAAAGCCACAAATAGGTTAAAGAATGGGTGGAGAGAAGAAGAAGAAGAAGAGGGACACCACCGTGATGGAGACGGTGGTGGTGGAGGAAGAGCCGCTCAGCCCATGCTCACGGCTGTTCAATTCGCCGGATTTTAACTGTGCCATAATTGTCACTATGGGATGTAGAGTCAAAGCAAACCCACCTGCCATTGTCGACGGCCTTAAACACACCCTTGTTAACCACCCTCGCTTCTCAAGCATTTTAGTAAGTCCCAAAAACACTTATTTATAAAAAAAACATATATTTTCATTTAGTAAGTCCATACACACACATAACATATGGTAAAAATAGAAGAAAATGATGTAAAGTAAACCATTGGATTTTATAATAGTAATGTTTTTTTTTTTCTCTAATCATGTTTGTATCATTAGAGTTATAACATACTAACCAGATTGGAAATAGTTGAAACAATCCTCTTGTTTACTTTTACTTTTTCTCATGTATACGATTCTTTTTGTATGTGATTCTTTTTTTTCTTGTCATGATGAACTCATCAGGAGATGAACAATGGGAAGAAAGGGAAACCGTGTTGGGTTCGAACAAAAGTTAGAGTAGAAGATCATGTGATTGTGCCAGATATAGATCCCAAAATTGAAAATCCTGATAAGTATCTTGAAGACTATATCTCTAAGTTAACAACTATTCCTATGGATTTGTCTAAACCATTATGGGAAATGCACATACTAAACCTCAAAACATCCAACGCTGAATCAATAGCCATTCTCAAGATCCATCATTCTTTGGGTGATGGAATGTCTCTCATGTCTCTTTTCCTAGCTTGCACCCGCAAAACATCAAACCCCGAGGCTTTGCCTACTGTTGCGGTTCAGAAAAAACGCCTTGTACCGAGCTGCAACAGCGGGTTTTTCAACAAGATTTGGTGGTTATTTGTAGTGCTCTGGTTCATCCTAAGGTTGCTATTCAACACTTTTGTTGATATCTTAATGTTTGCTCTTACGATATTATTCGTGAGGGATACAGAGACTCCTCTCTTGGCCAAACCTGGAAGTGAACTTATCCCTAAGCGGTTCGTCCACCGGATTATCAGCTTTGACGATGTGAAGCTGGTGAAAAACGCATTGAAAATGGTAAACAAAAGCGTTCTGTTTACTAATTTTTTAAGAATCACTTTATTCATGTATAATCACTGACATTTTTAGCCTTTAATCTAATGTTTCTTAGACTGTAAACGATGTTCTTCTTGGAGTAACGGAAGCTGGACTTACGCGGTACCTGAGCCGTAGATATGGTAAAAGTTGTACTTACACTCCATTATTATACTTATAAGTTTAGAGCTCACGTTCATCTAACAAAACTATTGTCATATGTTTTGACATAGATCAAGAAGCAACACCAAAATCGAAAGAGTCGATGAGGAAAATCCGACTTCGATCAGCTATTATGATTAACTTGAGACCAAACGCAGGAATTGAGGTATATATATAGTGTTGGAATATTTAGAAACCAAATAGTTGTAAACAGAATTGTGTGGTTTCATTATTGTTAAATGATGCAATATATAGGCTCTAGCGGATATGATGGCGAAGAAATCGAAATGCAGATGGGGAAATCTATTCGGCTACATTCTACTACCGTTCTCTGTTGGGCAAGAGACCGATCCTCTAGAATACGTGCGCCGAGCTAAAGCCACCGTAGACCGCAAGAAACACTCTCTCGAAGCCGTATTCTCCATGGCATTCTTTAAAGTTATATTAAAAGTTTTTGGACTCAAGGTGACATCTAAATCCGAATTTAAACAGAGTTAATCATGCATAGGTTTTGTTAATCCATATACACATGAATCTATTCTAATAGAGAAACAAAAAACACACAAAAATACAGGCAAGTGTAGTTCTTGTAAGGAAAGTGATCCATAGCACAACGTTGTCATTTTCAAATGTGGTCGGTCCAAAGGAAGAGATTACCTTCCATGGTCATCCACTATCTTATATCGCCCCTTGTGTTTTTGGCCACCCACATGTAAGCATTAATTGTATATAGAAAATTTCATCATATAGAATCTTCATGACTATTTCTGTTAATTTTAATCATGTTTTTGTGTGTATTGTGTGTGAAGGCTCTTACTCTACATTTCCAGAGCTATGCGAACAAGGTCATAATATCGGTAACTGCGGATCCAACGATCATTCCTGACCCTCACAAGATGTGTGACGATTTGGTGGAGTCTCTCAAAATCATTAAATCCGCTGTCCTAGAAAGAGGGCTATATGAGATCGAGGTCTAGTTTATAAAAGCTCTTTTGTTGTGTGTCACACTATGGACTCTAAATTAATAGTTTAATACCTTACGATTTTATTATAATAACTAGGCATATATAGATATGAAAATTGTAAGACATCTAATTTTATATTATAAGCAGGTTTTTAACTATAAGATGAGATTTTTGGTTACTTGGTAGACACATCACTTTTAATAGAGAGATACTATGAGCTAATTCACTTCCAAAGCAATTCATTACGAATGGCGATGGAAAAATGTCCAAATTATACATGAACTATGAATTTTGGTTTTGATATGTAACTCAACTTTATAAAGCTGTGAAGATTCAATGATCAAGTCATCAACGACATGTTGCATGCATATTAAATTTGTTGAGAATGACCAGCTACTTGACTTAAAGAACCAAATACTAAAACGTAACAGCGAAATCTTCCAAACAACAAAACATGCCCAAATGAAGTATTTAATAAAGGTACATAGATGTCCCAAAGCCCATAGCTCTAACCATGTCTTGATTCAAAAACTCAGAAGTTAGCCACTAATAGAAATTGCAATTTTGTTGAAAAATGATTAATCCATAGAAAGAAGTTGTCGGTATCGATTAATTAGAGATGAAGATAAAGCACTAACTATGATGTCTAGTACTGTAAAATCAAACTGATAATAATTCTAAGTGTAACGTTCTATGGTCGAGTTAGTTATCTCTAATGAAGACATCTTTTGACTTTAACCTCAGCTCTTACACCAATGGTTGAATCTAAATTATTCAGTGAGATTTAAAACGCATTACCAACAACCAATCTTATGAATGCTGCTGTCAAACTCATCAACTGTATTAAGCATCATTATTAGTGTAAATGCTGTGTCATGCTAGTCACCAAACCTTTTAATGATTTAATTAATTAATACTACAGTTTTCTTTTGTATTTCGTTAATTCGTTATCAATATATTAATGATATATTGAATTTATATTAAAGAAATGAAATGAAATTACGAGTATCGGGATATTGTTGTCATCAGTCTAATGATAATTCAGAAAAGTGTATACAGTTGATAACCTGATTGGTAAACGTCTAAAAAGCAATATTCAGTTTTATCTATATACTGCCAAAGTGCCAATAATGGATAGCATAAAACATGCACGTCCATGTAATTAAGTGACACATGAACATGTGTTCTTGTACCAAGTTTACAAAAGAACTTAATGATTTATGTTTTTTTTTTGGTTACTATGATTTATGTTTCTAACGTAAAAACTAAAAAGTTCTTTCACCAACGGTGTCATGATGATTTTTCGAGTTTCTTTCCCTCAATTACTAGTGATGTCAAAGTTAAATATATAGTAAATCATCATTTCATAAGATTTTTCTTACTAGGGAATTGGGAAATCAGTCATCGTTGGATTATAAGACCATCAATAATGATCTTACAACACTAGCTATACAAAAGTAGAACATATGAAAATTTGGATTTTCTTGCTAATCTAAACCACCATTTATAGTAGTTAAGCATGTTTAGCTCCTAGTGGAAAAGTTTGAACTGAATTTGGCATCGATCCATAGAGAAAATTAATCATCAACTGATTAGGGTTGGTTATATGTACATATGTTTCCAAAGATGTATATATGTATACCGTTATTAGACGGTAATGTGTGTAATAAACAAATGCGTTAATGAACCACATAAGACCTTTTTTGTTAAAAGTAATTGAGACAACAAGAATCATTCATTCATTAATCAAAAACGTGAGTGGTCTGATGAAAATAGAACTTTTGTGAAGGAGACAAAACACAAAAGGCTAAGATAAGAAAAGGAAAAAAGAGGTTTTAAGAGACAGAAGACTTATGGTAGAGGACAGCTCACACTCTTATTGACATTGACTTGGTACCCAACCTTTAATTTTGTTATCATTAGGCTATTTAGCTACATTAGCTATACGATCGTTTACACAATTCTTATCATATCAACATCTACCTCCACCGCGTGACTTGAGACCTTTTTTTTTTCTTTTGGCAAAAACATTGACTTAAACATCAACCATTCCATTTTTTGAAAAGGGTATTTTTAGTGTTCTTCTGCCAAATTACCTTAAATAATAACTAATAACTAATATATGTAAAGTTGTAAACCATAGAAACAAGATTCTTAATGTCTATATCCATAATATGAAGGAGGAAAAGGTTAGATACATATATAACATATGATAGCTAGGAACTGGTTCTGAGCAGTCAACACCAAACTAAAAACAAACAATATATCTATAGCAACCTGGAAGATTAATTAGTGGATAATATACTAATTCGATCCCTAAACCAGAACATTAATTGAAACGAGAATTTTGGAAACGATTGAACCAAAGCAAAACTATACATGTACATACTGTTTTGTGTGATTAATATTGGTAGATAAGTCTTATCTCAATAACTATTCCGTTTTAATTCCATGGGGCTCCAGTTGGTGGACGACGTAGATTTGTCCCATCAACGCTTTGAGACCATATGAGCGCGTGCCTTGACTCTTCTTGATACTACTCAACTTAGTATTTGTATGTATACGTTTGTTAGTATATAGCATCTATTGATCCGCATGCAACCGTGAATTGGATTATATAATGGTAAAACCCGACTAAACATATATGCATGTTATACCACTTTAGAGTTTGAACTCGGTGTTTAATATGCAACTGATCATATCATTTTGGCATACTATACTAAGTATAGGGAAAGATCCATCGGACGGTCTATCGGATGTGATATTTCCCTACACTTAACATATGGTTGAAGAGGACGAGTTCGAACATATGGTAATATTGAGTAGAACATGGATTTAGACAGCTTTTGGTACGTAAGAAAATTTATAAACAAAAAAAACGAAATTAAGAAAGAAACAAATAACGGTGAAGAAAAAAAAAAGATCACCGACACCGTTAGAAAAATCTTATTTACTATTTGAGAAAAAGCACCAATTAGTGTTGATATAAAATATTATATTTTCCAAATTAGCACTAATTAGTGTATCGTAAGATATAAATATACAATAGTACGTTCGATTCTATTATAGAAATGAATGACGTATTAGTTACTATTTTTTTTTCCTATAATGAATGATGCAAGTTGTTAGAGATGCATCATTATACTAAAATAATACTCGTACATACACATCAAAACATACTTATTTGATAGAGCCATCGACAAATTTTGTTCGTTTGTGGTCCTTTTAGAATACTACAATTCAATTATATATCACTAAAAAAATATTACAGCTATCAGGCATAAGGTATATTACAAACTAAGAAATTGACCCATAGTTTTTTTTATATAAATATAACTCATGACATTTTTCTATTTCTTTAAATAGCTTCATCTATATAATAATTTATCTCATCTTTGTTCTCTCCTTAAACAAACTCTTAAACTTCACTCTAAAACACCACAATGGGTTACGATAGGCTCGGTCCGTCCCGACCATCAGACACGAACCAGAAAGACCAAGCCACGTCACTTCCGGAGCAAAACAAGAAAACTAAAACGAAGCTGATTCTCTTCACTTTGGCTGTTTTAGTTGTTGGAGTGATCTGCTTCGGGATCTTTGCTGGTATCCGAGCTGCAGGTTCGGACAAAACCGTGCCGAAGCTAACACGAAAACCGACCCAAGCGATCTCCCGAACCTGTAGCAAATCGTTATACCCGAACCTATGCATCGACACACTTCTTGATTTCCCGGGATCTTTAACCGCCGACGAGAGCGAACTCATTCACATCTCCTTCAACGCAACGCTTCAAAGATTCAGCAAAGCTCTTTATGCTTCTTCTACGATCACTTACACTCAGATGCCGCCACGTGTACGGTCAGCTTACGATTCTTGCCTCGAGCTGCTAGATGACTCGGTCGAAGCCCTCACGCGTGCTCTCTCCTCAGTCGTAGTCGTATCCGGAGACGAGTCTCACTCCGACGTGATGACGTGGCTCAGCTCAGCGATGACTAACCACGACACTTGCACTGACGGGTTCGATGAAACTGATGGAGAAGGAGGAGGAGTGAAGGATCAAGTGATCGGAGCGGTTAAAGATTTGTCGGAGATGGTGAGTAACTGTTTGGCGATATTCGCCGGAAAAGTAACAGATTTGTCTGGAGTTCCGGTGGTGAATAATAGGAAGTTACTTGGGACAGAAGAAACAGAGGAATTACCTAATTGGTTGAACAGAGAAGACAGAGAGCTTCTTGGTACCCCGGCGCCGGCGATTCAAGCTGATATCACGGTGTCTAAAGACGGTACCGGAACGTTCAAGACAATCACGGAGGCTATCAAGAAAGCTCCGGAGCATAGTAGCCGTAAATTCGTTATCTACGTTAAAGCAGGAAGGTACGAAGAAGAGAATTTAAAAGTTGGGAGGAAGAAGACTAACATAGTGTTCATCGGAGACGGCAAGGGTAAAACGGTCATAACCGGTGGTAAAAGTATCGCCGATGATCTAACTACTTTTCACACCGCCACTTTCGGTAACAGAATCTAACTTTTTAACTTTTGTTTTTTTTTAACTGTTGATGATTTATTGATTTATGTTTTCATTGCTGTAGCTGCTACTGGAGCTGGATTTATAGTGAGAGACATAACGTTCGAGAATTACGCCGGACCGGGTAAGCATCAGGCCGTGGCACTACGAATTGGTGGAGACCATGCGGTGGTTTACCATTGCAGTATTATCGGATACCAAGATGCGCTTTACGTACATTCTAACCGACAGTTTTTTCGCGAATGCGATATTTATGGAACGGTCGATTTTATATTCGGTAACGCAGCTGTGATCTTACAGAGTTGTAACATCTATGCGCGTAAACCTATGCCTCAGCAGAAGATTACCATCACGGCTCAGAACCGGAAAGATCCTAATCAGAACACGGGGATTTCGATTCACGCTTGTAAGATACTAGCCACGCCGGATCTTGAAGCCTCTAAGGGTAGTTATCCTACGTATCTAGGCCGTCCGTGGAAGTTGTATTCTAGAGTTGTGTACATGATGTCGGATATGGGTGATCATATTGACCCGAGAGGATGGTTGGAGTGGAATGGTCCGTTTGCATTGGACACATTGTACTATGGTGAGTATATGAACAAAGGGCCAGGGTCAGGGATGGGTCAACGAGTTAAGTGGCCGGGTTATCACGTTATTACCTCAGCGGTTGAGGCTAGCAAGTTTACGGTGGCTCAGTTCATTTCTGGTTCTTCGTGGTTGCCACCAACCGGCGTGGCTTTTTTCTCGGGGTTGTCACAATAGATTGTCTCAGCCTTGTATGTAATGTATACGAAAGATTTTTATATACGAACTCAAGATTTGTAATATAGTCCACAAACCATTTTAAGTGTACTTATTATATGATAGGACTTCTTCTTGAATGAAATAAAGATTATGAATTGAGTATGTTCTCTGTAACTGTTCTGGATTCTTTGCTCAGATATCAGTGTTTGCATATATGTACAGTAATGGAAAGATTAGTTTTGGATGACGAAAGAAACATTGCAAGTTTTGTGATCTGTCTGCACATTTCTGGCAAAATAGAACAACTCTTTTTTCTTCTCTAAATACACTTTTGGATGACAAGAAACTGTCTGAATCAAAAAACACACCAAACCAAAACTAAACCACGTGAAACAGATCAAAGAGATCGAACAACTGAAAATAGGTTTAGAGAGTTGGTTGGTTCTGATTCAGCTACACACACATGTTTGGTATGCAAACACCAGAATCTGGATTCTGTTGCTCTTTCCAGATTCTTCCGGTGACTCTAAGTTTCAGCTCTTTCCTATCTCCACCGGAGAAGAAGAGTGCCATGTTTCTTTGGATTATAAGACCGTCGTGACTGTCTCTAACTTTCCTGTGACTATCTCTGATGCTTCTTGGGGTTCCTTCCCATGAGAGTTTTCTCCCACTGCCTCCAACTTCTAAGCTGTATGTATAGTTTCGTGCGTCTTCTTCATCGCCCATGAATCTCAGAAACGCCATGTATACTGGAGCCATACCTAGTTGAAACGCTTCAAAATGAAGACAAAAGTATTGTCCAAAACAATGAAATACCTACAAAACAATAAGACAAGGAAAAAGAACCCTCAGAATCTCAAGACAATTGAAAATCTCACAAATCATAAGCGAGAACAATGCTAACCGTAAGCATCCAAGTTGCGTTCTCTACTTCTCGTGGATTGGATTTGACATAACGGTGGTTAAACGTACATCCAGAGTGCATATCGACTTTGTGATCATCTCTTAAATGATCTACAAGGAAACTGGTGTCTCCTACAACAGGACACTCTGAGCCAGCATAAGGACAACTATAAGGTCTAAAGTTGCACACAGACTCATGCTTAAGTTTGCTGTAATAAGGGAATATCTCAGGGCATCCAAGATTGTAATACTTGCAAGGTAGCTCAAGCGACTCAGCCACTTTCTCAAGAGCCAAACATCTAATATCTCCAAGCTCTTGTCTACAAGTCGGACACCGATTATGCACCCTTGTTTTACAGGTCGAGCATAACGTATGCCCATTATGACACTACAAAAGAAGAAAACTTTTCTCACTTATCTTAACTTACAAAAGAACACAGCACACAAATCAAAACATCCATAAACCCTCTTAAGAACCTTAATTGTTTCAACACACCAAAATCTCCATCAAATCATAGCTATTTTGCATATCAACCCCAAATTCAGGAATTGGAAATCATAAAAATTGAAACTTTATACAGGTAAGAGGCAACACAATTCAACGAGATCTGTCTAAACTCTCAAATGATAAGATACGAACCTGATGAATAGGTGGGTACATAGAATTAGTGCAGACAGGGCATTCAAGGAGCTCGTAAACGCTAGTCGCCGGAGAGATCACCACGGTGGCTCCTCCCTGAGACTTGGTTGATGAGATTTTGTTTTTGTGATGAAGAATCTCATCGTTCTCCATCGCGCATTCGATACTATCCGTCTCCATTAACACCATGGTTTTGAAAATCAAACAAGTCTCAAAATTCAAAATTGAAAAAGATAAAAAGTTGGGGACTTTTTTGTTCCTGGAAAATAAAAATAGGTTCTTTTTTTTTTTTTTCTTTCACGCCGATCAAACTAAAGAACGAAATCGCAAAACACAAGAGAGAAAGAGAAAAGGGAAACTGGGATTTTCCAGGAAAATCAAACCCTTTTCTCTCTGTCTCTGTCTCTCTCTTTTTCTCAAATGGTTTGCGCCAAAGAGGTGCTTTTCTTCGTTGGCTTGTTTCATTCTTTGAGAAAAGTTTCTGAGGAATTAAATATAGCCGTCCAGATTAAAAAGCTTTTATTTTTTCCGGATTTTAATCCGACGGTTATTAAAATCTGGCACATGGGTGGGTGTTTGATTTTTCCTCTTGTAATAAGATTGTATTTTGTTACACTGAGTTGAATCGAAATTAGCCATTGTCAACAAAATTAGATCAATAGTGAATTCGAGAAGAGCCTTGAATTTTGGCATTGCATATATTAATGAAAAGACGTGGGCATTGCATAAAGTTACATCATCATTTTTATCAATATGCAAATTGTGCCATCCTTGTGTTCTATTCATTGTTTTCTTATCCAACTTCATTTATGTACAGAGAAAGATAAAGTTAAGCATACAGAGAGATACATTTCACCAGATGTTCTGGATGATGATGATGGTGGTGTATGATCATCGAACGTTACATTACATACTTGCTACAACAGATGGAATCTCTGCCTCCACCTCAATTTCTCCATCCGATCCCTCCTTGGTCGTCTGCAACAATACCAGATAATCCGGTTATCAAACCATCCTAACGATTGTTATTCGGTTAAATTAAAACCGGGTTTGCTCTTGCGGTTTATAGTTTACCTGAGGAGAATCCTTGGAGTTGGTTTCAGAGAGATACCGACCCAATGCTCCTTTACCACGGAGTATCTTAGCTCCAGAGCCTCTTCGTCCTTCTCCTTCAACTGCTTCTTCATCCACCACAACTGCCTCTATCATGTCGCTGTCTGTACCCTCGTCCGGAATCTTGAAAACAAAAGACATTTTGCATAAATGTACAAGAATCTGAAACGGATTCTAGCAGCATGGGTTTGAAAATCATTAAGGGGTGTGTATATATATATATATACCTCGTACATAGAGTCCATGAGGATGCTTTCTAGAAGAGCTCTTAAGCCACGAGCTCCAGTGTTTTTTGTTATTGCTTTTTGAGCTATTAGCCGCAGTGCGCTTTCCGTGAAATGCAGCTTTACCTGAAGAGAGAAGAGATAGAGACTTGTCTTATGATTTGGAGCAGAAAGAGATATAGAGAGGGATAAGAGATAAAAGTAGTTACACTATTCATCTGGTACATCTTTTTGTATTGCTTTCCAAGAGCATTCTTGGGTTCTGTCAACACCTGCAATCCAAAGATATTATTGCGTATTATAGACAAGAGGCAGAGAATCACATCAAATGTCACGTATTTATGTTAATCGCAATTACCTGCATAAGTTGGTTCTCAGTCAAAGCAGACAAACTGACGAGAACTGGAAATCTTCCAACAAATTCAGGTATTAAACCGTAAGCAATCAGGTCACTGCTCTCCACCTACCAATTCCGAACATCGCATTGTAAACTTCGATACAAACCAAAACAAGCAGAAGAATCCCCAACATTAGGTGGGTGAAGATCTGATTAAAAACCTACAGTTTCCATTAGATTCGATGCAACAGCAGCATTTGTAACACCACCAGCCCTCATGTTAGCACGTACAGGAGCACCAAACCCTATTGAAGAATCATGGCGTCTGGAACAAAAACACTCAGTTCACTTATTATGGCAATTCAATTAAGAGGATAAGAATATAAAAGTAAAAGGATTTATGGATTCATTAGTCAAACCTCTCTGAGATTGTCTTCTCGATGTCTACAAAGGCACCACCACATATGAAAAGAATGTCCTTTGTGTCTATCTGCATACAGTTAACGATAATGTGGATAAAAAAACAGCTGTTAAAGGAGACCCTAATGAATTGTTTAACAAGAAAACAAGAAACCATATCGATTAAATGTTTTTAGCAACACTCCAATCATCATGCTAGGAACAGTAAATTGAAAATCTATAATGTCTACATAATCACTGGCGTTAAGAATATGATAACAACATTGACCCATCTTTACAATAAAATAAATACATATGAATAACTTTTGTTGTTTTTGCAAAACAACAGAGTAAAGTAGAGCACGGCAAACCTGGATATTGTCGCCTCTAGGGTGCTTCCTAGCGCCCTTCTCAGGTACATTTACAATCTATATCCAAAGAGGGAGTTGGAAATTGGGCATCAAACACAAAGAAGTATTGAGAGTTGCAATCTTACTTAGCAGAGCTCTCAAATCAAATAATACATGTGTTCCTTTGGTAAGTTTACTAGAGACTTTTGCAGCATACTTAAACAGTAAACCTACCGTTCCTTCCAGCATTTTTAGCAATGCTTGTTGAACACCTTCTCCTGATACATCTCTGCTGATGTTAAGGCTTTCTGCCTGGTAACCAAAAGGTTCAAAGAACAAAATTCATCTAAGAAGCACAGAAAATAATATTCACATTTTCCAAACTAGCACGAGGAAAAGAATTTAAGTTCTATAACCTTCTTTGTGATCTTATCAACTTCATCAATGTAAACAATCCCCTGTTGTGCAGCTGCAACATTATAATCTGCAACCTGGACAGAGATATAAAATCCACACATTAACTATATAAGATCAATTATAGTGGCATACAAATAAAAATGTTTGGGTTGTAGAAACTTACTGTGAGAAGTTTGTATAATATAGACTCGACGTCCTCTCCCACATAACCAGCCTGACAAATCATTTCATTTCCGAACAAAAAAATGAATGTCACAGATTGGTCATCATGAAAAGGACATGCGCCAAAAAGACTAGAAGAAAGACGAGAATTGCCTGAGTCAGTGTGGTCGCATCCGCAATGACAAATGGAACATTCACAAACCGTGCCAAGGTTTTCGCAAGTAGTGTCTTCCCTGTGCTTGAAGAAAAGCACCAAAACAGATTATATGAGAAGGCTGAAATTGAAGTTTCAGAACCATGCTAGATTGAAATAAATACTGTATCATCGTAGTATATCAGGCTTGCATTCTGCAGAATGGGGTCAGATTTTACCTGATCCAGTTGGTCCCATCAGGAGAATGTTACTTTTCTCCAGTTCTACCATATCATCATCTGCTGGTTTCGCTGCAGTGCTCTCTGTTTCCCCTGAAGACCTAGCTTCCCAACAAGTTTCAATATCATAACTAACCAATCTCTTACAGAATTAATAAAGTCACAAATAAACAAACAAATGTAAATGAACGAAACTGTAATTAGGGCAAATGAACGACAATGCAAATCATAAGGTGTCTTTGTTTATTTTCAGATGCTGAACTAACCGTTTCTGTGATGATTCGTGATAAATCCTCTTGTAGTGATTGTAAACTGCAACTGAAAGCACCTGCATCAGCGAGATAACAAAAGAATGCATTATGAACTAATTAAAAGCATACAATACAGAAGAACCAGCGCTTAAAATTAGCATTCAACTGTAAGCAGAAGTTTGGAAAGTGATATTGAGGACAGCTCGGTGCACCATGCGTGATGCATAAAAATGAAACAAGTAATTTAACCTCGGAGACACTGGAACCAAATCTAGAACCTAAAAATCCAGCATCAGATAACTAACACTCAGTTTTGATATTTTCTGTAACAACGAAAGTAACTTTGTATATAAAATCCATCTTGTAACTAAGCTCCAAATGGAGTTGTGGAGAGTACGGTTAGTACCATTCAAAGCCTAAAGCATCACAAGAAATGTTTAGCCCCAAATGATTATCTACGAAGAAACCAATATAAAACCTAAGCATTAGCAACTCAGATGTCAGTGAAATTCGAATTGAGCTATCTACAAAGTAAGTAAACAAAAAGAAAAAGCCATTTCAGATAGATACTAATAACATCAAAGTCTTATCACATCACTTTTTGTATCCACTTCACCTTTTTAGCTCTTTCCTGACCAATCACGAACTTGTTCAAACCTTTACAAATCTCCTTGGGTGTAGGAAAATCAGAGCCAAGATTGGATCCACCCCAAGAATCTTCTTTCGAATTCGAGCCAGCTCCGTTACCAGGACCACCAGGACTACCTCCACCGCCACCACGGCCGAGATTTACACTCGACCCATTAACCCTAACGGAAACACCATCACCCGGAGGCTGCCACAGATCCGGTGGGTCTCCTTGAGAGCTCAGAATAACAGAAGAACCAACACCGTTCACCTTCTGGGCACAGTTAGTAGCATAGCCTCTACTCGAATTACGTCTCTCCCCTCCTCGATGATCCAAGAAACTCGTTCCAAGCGAGGAGATTTTACCAGGGGATTTGTTGTTCGATGGGTCATCGGCTTTTTTAGAACGGTGATTGCAGTGAGGACTCGTGGCGGTTCTAGCGGTGTGGATACGGTTGAAGAAGAAGTATCTAAACTGAGAAAGAGTGAGAGAAGCGGTTTCTCTTGACGTATTCGACCTTAAAGCCGCGGCCATGGCGGGGTTTGGTTACACCGGAAAATCAAACGGACTGTGAAGAAGAAGAAGAAGAAGAAAAAAAGCTCTCTTTAGCAATTGATTGACATAGTAGTAATCCGATCGAGGATTTGGTTAGATGGGTTTGTAAGAAACCAAATAAAAACTGAAACTTTTTTTTTCGTAAAGGGTTTCAATTGATGACGCAATCTGTGAGAGAGAGAGAGATGAAGTTGTGAAGCACACGAAACGAAACGCAAATTCGAAAGGGGAAAAATGAAAATGGAGGAGAATATCTTTGTGTAATCAAAAACTAATCATCTGGTTCTCGTATGAGTTTGACGAAGAGTGCTTTGGACGGCCCATTGTTTTTTAATACGTTGTCGTTTTGAGGTTTGATTTTTCAACTGCCGGGTAAGTAATATAAATAAGACAAGGAAATTAAACATGTTCTTATCATCATCATTTGGGTAAAAATCCAAAAAAAAACCAATAAAGTGTATGGGTTAGATATGTTTAATGTAACCTAAAATTAAACAAAGTATATAATATTGTAAGTATTTGTTCTCAATATAATTCGACTTTTAATTTTAGTTCATTTGGTTTAGAATTATTAGTTTATTACAATCAAATTGTTTCTTAATACTTTACTTAAATGTTTGAAACAAAGAAAACATCTGATAAAATTATAATATAATCTATTAAATTTGTACAAATTTCAAAACTAAATAGTAAAGAAACGATAAACTATAGAAAAGTAGTTTTAAAAATGGTTATACGCTAATAAAAGTTGATCTCCTTTGTTAGTCTTTAATTCTTAAAATATTGTTTTGATGTTTTCATAGAATTAGCTCAAAAAACAAAAACAAAAATCAAAATCAATCCATAATCATGACTAGGCGTGACCAAAAGCTAATCTTAACCGTATTTTTAACCGTAACCGGACCGTTTATAAACCGTAACCGGACCGTAACCGTTTACAATGGTTAAAAATCGTAACCGTTAACCGTATAAATAAATTAGTTACAGTTATAAAAAAATACTAACCGTAACCGTTAATTAACCGTAACCGTAATAAATCGCTGTTTAACCGTTATAAACCGTAAGGTTAACCGCATGATTAACCGAATATTTAAAATTTTAAAAATAAATTGTAACTATAATTATATACAATGAAAAGATACATTGAATGTTTGGATAAGATTTTCACGTTATTAAAAGCGATACAACAAGTTGAACTTGTAAGTTATCAAAACATTTCATACTAAACTATTTTTAATCATATATTATTTTATTATTATTATAAAGGTTAAAAATATATAATTTTGCCTCCAATGTTAACATTATAATAATAATCAAATAACCGTAACCGTATTTAACCGTAACCGTAATTAATCGTAACCGCATATAACCGTAACTGTCTTAACCGTATATCAAATGGTTAAGGTCACGGTTAAAAAAAATTATAACCGTCAACCGGTGGTTATTTAACCATAACCGCATTAACCGTAACCGTGGTCATGCCTAATCATGACTACAAAACAATAAAACTCAATTTTTTATTACAAATTTAATTTTGGAAGGAGAAAGATATGTAAGGTTAATTATGTTCAAAATAAATATCTAAATGCTGATTCATGTAGAAAAAAAAAAAGAGATTTATATAGTTTCCCTATAATCAAAGAGACTAGGTTTGGTATAATTTGGTATCTGAAAGTAATTAAGAGATGCACAAAATTCACAGTCCCTAAACTCATAAAATCATAAAATCTCAACGGCACTCTCTCTTATCTCTCAGATTCTACAATCCTGATTCCAATTTTCTCATCGGAAGTGAGTGATCTCGCTGTTTCTCCCTGGTGAATCGTCACCGGAATAGCAGATCCGACAACGACATTTTTTTGGAGTTACAAATCGAATCAGTGGATCCAGAAATCTCCCATTTCTGGAGATTTGATTCAGTGAAAGGAAGCATATTGTGTTCTTGGTGAAATTTTGATTTAAAAGATCTGATTTTTGGGATCTGTTTCAACCCAGCTGAAGAAATTGGGTTCAAATGGCGAGGAAAGGATCGAGTATGAGATTATCAAGCTCGAGAATATCTTCGCTTTTGCTCTCCATGTTTGCAACTTTTGCTTCTTTCTATGTAGCTGGCCGGTTAGTTCCTTAAATCTCTCTGCATTTTCATCCATCAGTGACAAACCCATGTGTTCCTCTGATTCTAATTTCTTTGTTAATTGCTCTAGTTTATGGCAAGAATCTCAAACTAGGGTTCATCTAATCAAGGAGCTTGATAGGGTAACTGGACAGGTTAGTATTTTTGGATGTCACTTTCATTACAGCAGAGTGTATTTATGTTTGTTATTTTGGTGGCAAAAAGTTATGTCAGAATGTTATTTCGTTTGCAATTACTGTCCTTGAATCTTTGTTTGGTGTAATGTACTTGAATGCTGCTTATACTGTTCTTTTTATATATGGGGTTTAGGGAAAATCTGCTATATCAGTGGATGATACTTTGAAGATCATAGCTTGCAGGTAAATTATGGTACTTTGTTTGATTTCATGATGAATTGTTTTGTATCCATGGACTGTTTGAACACATACTTTTCTTTCTAGGGAACAGAAGAAGACACTAGCAGCTCTTGAGATTGAACTAAGTGCAGCTAGGCAAGAAGGCTTTGTTTCAAAAAGTCCCAAACTTACTGATGGAACTGAAACCAAGAAAAGACCATTAGTGGTTATCGGTATAATGACAAGTTTGGGTAACAAGAAGAAGAGGGATGCAGTCCGTCAAGCATGGATGGGGACGGGTTAGGGTTTCTCCTTATTCATGTTTTAGTAAGATACCAGTCTGTTATTTGCACACGTTGTTAGCTTAGCACATCATTTTCTCGCAGGTGCATCACTAAAAAAACTTGAAAGTGAAAAGGGTGTGATTGCACGATTTGTTATTGGAAGAAGGTTTGGATTCGGTTTATCACTCTTTGATTTATGTATGCCTTACATCATTATACGGTTCTGGAATCTTGTTTTGAAATGTTATTTTTGTGTAATGTAGTGCAAATAAAGGGGACAGCATGGACACGAGCATTGATACTGAGAATAGTCAAACTGATGACTTCATTATTCTCGTATGTGATTTTACTCTCTCTATGTTATTACCTCAAGCATTCATTTACCAGCCCACCTGTGCTACATTTGAGAGCTTGGCCATTTATCGGTTTTCAGGATAATGTGGTTGAGGCACCTGAGGAAGCTTCTAAGAAGGTAAAACTGTTCTTTGCCTATGCAGCAGATAAGTGGGATGCACAGTTTTATGCAAAGGCCATCGACAATATATATGTAAATATAGGTAATTTAGTACTAAAAAGAGTATTTTACAGCCGAACCCTTTTGGTTGTTTGTGTTGCTTGGGATGATTGGAAATATGGATAGTTGATTATCTATGTCATTCTTCTTGGTGTTCCAAAAGTGTAACACTCTCCAGATAGACGAAAAATCTCTGGATATGGTGGTTTAGTTAAATTGAGAAGTTCACAGTTAGAATTATTATTAGGCTGTGAAATACTGAGCATGATGTTCTTGCAATTTCCTTTTTCATGCTCTCTAAAGGTCTATAATCCCCTCCGTTGTGAAAGTTCTAAGGTCAAAGGGTTTTCATGTATGTAATTATTCGGATGCAGATGCTCTCGGAAGTACACTTGCAGCACATCTGGAAAACCCACGGGCTTACATCGGTTGCATGAAGTCAGGCGAAGTTTTCTCAGAACCGTGAGTTTATGCTTAAAACCCCAGCACTACTAGGACAATTAGTCTGATCTAATCTTAACATAAGTTTTGCTTCTCTGGCAGGAACCACAAATGGTATGAACCAGAATGGTGGAAATTTGGTGACAAGAAAGCGTAAGTTCTAAAAGTAATCATAGCTATGCATTATTGACTAGATTCATTTCTTCCATGTGAGTAGGAACCACCGGTTCTTGTTTCATTTATCTTGCAGATACTTCCGGCATGCTTATGGGGAGATGTATGTAATAACGCATGCATTGGCTAGATTTGTATCAATCAATAGGTCAGTGTTTTCAACTCTCAGTTACACGCGATGACACATATCTTTCAAATGCTCACACAAACAGATAAATAGATTAAAACTGAGTTTTTGTGTTGTTTGTTATTTCTGATGATGATGGATGGGGATGGTTACAGAGACATTCTTCATTCGTATGCTCACGATGATGTCAGCACGGGTTCATGGTTTGTGGGTCTTGATGTTAAGCATGTAGATGAAGGGAAGTTCTGCTGTTCGGCATGGTCCTCAGGTATATGATTTTAGCTTCTACTGCTTATGAACTTGATTTTAAATCATCATATTGTTTGACATGTATCTAAATTATCTCCATACGTTTCAGAAGCCATATGCGCAGGAGTGTAGTAGAACCAAAGACAAATCCAAGTGTGAGGCTGATGCTTATAGAGAAAGAAAACACAAATGATATTTGTACGAAAATGGCTAATTACACAATTTTCTCTCTGTATTCTAAACTTTCCATTTTATTGGTCATTGCATTATACAAAGTCTAGGTTTTGGATATGGGCAACATATACTCTCACAGACCAAATAGAACCAAGTAATAGCACAAATCATCCATTTTTTACACAAGTAAAACCAAATATCTATACTTTGTCAATCTTTGTGTTATCAAATTGATGTTTACTTATATTAACTATAGATTTAAAAGTCGAAAGCCAAATCAGGAGGAACCATGTAACAAATGTGCCAATGCCTTTTCAGTGTCGTTCTCAAACATGAAGAGAGCTTCTGCAACAGAGTTTGGTGGAAACCCCATCTCCCGTATAGCTGTGAACCCATTTGCAAATTCTTGAACCTGAAACACATAATAACTATGATTAGATTTCTCATTTGGGGAAAGAATGATGAAGCAAGATGTGGCAACTCAAAGATCCACAAGTTTAACTGACGGTTGATCACAGTATACCTGATCACTATAACCACTACTTAGAATTAGTTAGCTAATACAAGAATAGAATGTATGAAATAAGATAAAGCACCTTTGTGGGATTATCACCGTAGTTTGCAACTGCTATGTTGACAGCTTCTCGGTTGAGCCCAGCATATTTCATCACTGGATCTACACCCTGCATTCCAAATCCCTTATTAACAATGATAAATTATATGCATATAGAGCTAGTGCGAATCTAAGGATCATACACTGAATTGCAAAAATCTGGTCTTGACCCAAAAATCTAAACTTGACCCAATACACTGTTGCATTCATAAAAAATCCACACTTTTTCTTACTCAACCTCACATTGATACTATTAATTGGTGCCATTAATCACCTCAGCCTAACTCTACAATGCTTCTCTTCTGTTCCCGTTAATAACGTTCACTAATGATGATTCAAGCTTGTTATTACTGGAGCTCACATGAATACTACTACACTTTGTTGCTTGCCATTTAATTCTAAAACCCTTCTATAGAATTGAAGGAGTCTTACCATTGAAGAAGATGATGGTTCTGGAAACTTAGCCGGTGGATTCTCAGTTCCGAATTTACTCCAGTCTGGAGTATCTTTCTCTGCTTCGGCAAGAACTTTCCTCTCTAAACCGAAATCGAACTGAAAACTACTCCGATGAATATCTCCGACTCGAGGCAACAACTGAGGCTGAAACAATTTGCAAATACAGTCTAAACTACTTCAAATTCTTCAATCACAGTGCTTAAAGATCAAAACAGTGCACCATTCATATCATGATCATTCCAAAATGAAACTATAAAATCTTACCGGTGGAGTAATACGATACTCAGGTTTCAAATTCACCTTGATTCCTAATCCAGCTACCAAAATCAACGAATCATCAATCACAAAATCAAATTCACTTAAAACCTAAAATTCGAGATCAGAGCGAGACTCACATGAGGAAGAAGAAGAAGGGAACGGAGGAGGAGTGTTATGCTGAAACGAAGAGTTTCTCTCCGGTGGTGGGAAAAATTGTTGGCCGTGACCTGTTTGTTGACCGATCTTAGGGTATCCCGAAGGTGCGTACATAGGATGGTTAGATGCTGGAGAAGGAGATGATGCTGAGGAAGGTTCGTACATAGGACGAGGGTAGGATGGTCCAGACTTGTTTCTGTAATCGTAGTCCATTGTTGTGTGTTTCTAGTATTCAATGATCTCTGCAGAGAAGAAGAAGGGAATTGGAGAATTAAGCGAAGAAGAAGTCTTGTTGAAAGGGAAGAGATCTGTTTGGATACGAGGATTTTTTTATCCTTATCTTGATTTTGACTGAATCTTGTTTTAACTGGGCCTTATAAAAAGCCCATTAAAGGTTTACACATATCTGATGACTGAGAAGAAGAGCTTAAGTGAGAACCACTTCTTTGCTAAAGAACTCTCATGTCTTTCTTCTTCTTGTCTTGATAGGTCTCTAGTACAATCCCTATGATGCACCATATTCATTTTAAGTCAAAAGTTCCAAAAATCAATCATTTTAAGCTAATAAAATCACTTTAAAACTTATGATGGAACCAAAAACACAAAGCTAATGTAGTAGTCGTTCAATATAACTTCTAAAATTGTAAACATAGTCAACAAGAAAAAAAGAAAATTTGACTTTGGGATATGTCTCTTTCTTTCCACTGATCACAAAGATTCTTTCCTCGAGTTTGTATGTAGGGGTGGGTGGATAAGGAGAGAGACTCGACACTAAGCATGAACCATGAAACTCCCTTTCTCTAATTTCAACTGTTAAAAAAAGACACGACTTAAGTGTTATTACACAACAAAATCAATTGTTCAAAGGTTGAAACTATAACTCCAAAAATAAATAAAGTAACAAGAGTTTGAAAAATTTCGAGTTGCTTTCACCGTGATTTTCTCAGCACAGCAAAAACAAAAACATACAAAAACAGAGTTGTTAGGCATCAAGTCAACAACTCGCCGAACCTAACATTAACCTAAAGCAACCCACTCTTGTAATATTAAAATCAAAATTACACCTATTGTTTATCTTATTACTATATATCTCCTAAAAGTCAATTATTGTATACTTATTATATATCTTTATCTAATCTCTCAATTCTTCATCTTCATCCATTATTATAAACGTCACTTTACTCTTAAACCAGTTTTTTCTTTTCTCTCTATCCAAAGAAAACACACACAAACAGTTTCCGGGAAAAATGAAGTGCCAAGTTGTTTTAATTATACTCATCGGAGTGATCTTCAACTGCATAGAGGCAGAGACGATAAAAGAAGATAAACACTCTCTTCTTCAGTTCGTTAACAACGTCAATCACTCTCATTCACTCAACTGGTCACCAAATCTTTCTATATGTACCCAATGGACCGGTGTTACCTGCAGCTCAGATCATTCTAGTGTAGTTGCACTTCGTTTAGCAGCCACGGGTCTACGGGGGCATATCGGGTTAAGCACCATAGCCAGGTTAACTAATCTTCGGTCTCTCGTTCTCAGTTCTAACAACATCTCTGGACGTTTTCCTCCAAGTTTACAAGCTTTGAAGAACTTGACCGAGCTTAAACTCGACTTCAACGAGTTTTCCGGTCCTTTGCCTTCTGATTTCTCTTCTTGGGAGAGTCTAGGAGTTCTTGATCTCTCTAATAATCGGTTTGATGGTAGTATTCCATCTTCGATTGAGAAGCTGACTCGGTTACACTCTCTGAATCTTGCGAGTAACAAGTTTTCAGGTGAGATTCCTAATCTACATATTCCGGGTCTGAAGCTGCTAGACTTAGCTCACAACAATCTGACAGGGACCATACCTGAGTCATTGCAGAGGTTTCCACTATCAGCATTCGTCGGAAACAAAGTTTTTTCCAGAAAGCTGGCGCCTGTTCATTCATCATTAAGGAAACACACAAAACATCACAACCATGCAATTCTTGTCATAGCATTAAGCGCATGTTTTGCGATACTAGCTCTGCTTGCTATCTTGTTGGTAATCATCCATAATAGAGAAGAGCAAAGAAGATCTACAAAGGAGAAACCTAGCAAGAGGAGGAAAGATTCAGATCCAAACGTTGGTGAAGGAGATAACAAGATTGTGTTTTTCGAAGGGAAGAATCTTGTCTTTGATTTGGAAGACTTGTTGAGAGCTTCTGCAGAAGTTCTAGGGAAGGGTCCGTTCGGGACAACCTACAAGGTTGATCTTGAGGATTCAGCGACCATCGTTGTGAAAAGGATCAAGGAAGTGAGTGTTCCTCAGCGGGAATTCGAGCAGCAAATCGAAAATATTGGCAGCATCAAGCATGAGAATGTTGCCACTTTAAGAGGATATTTCTACTCTAAGGATGAGAAGCTAGTGGTTTATGATTACTACGAACATGGAAGTCTTTCAACATTACTACACGGTACGCTGATAATGCCACCATTTGAATTTAGTATACATATGTGATTAAGTTAGTCTTCTGTATGAGTATACTTAGCATATATCTTACATAACTCAGTCTATGTGTGCATCGATATGCGTTTGACTATTCAGGTCAGAGAGGTCTTAGGGAACGGAAACCTCTAGAATGGGAAACTAGACTGAATATGGTGTATGGAACAGCAAGAGGAGTGGCTCATATCCACTCCCAAAGCGGAGGCAAACTAGTCCACGGGAACATAAAATCGTCAAACATTTTCCTCAACGCAAAAGGATATGGCTGCATCTCCGGAGCAGGACTGGCTACACTGATGCATTCGCTACCCCGACATGCAGTTGGCTATCGTGCACCAGAGATAACGGACACAAGAAAGGGGACTCAACCGTCGGATGTGTATAGCTTCGGGATTTTGATTTTCGAGGTACTAACAGGAAAATCAGAAGTGGCAAACCTGGTGAGGTGGGTGAACTCAGTGGTTAGAGAAGAATGGACCGGAGAGGTGTTTGATGAGGAGCTTTTGAGGTGTACCCAAGTAGAGGAAGAGATGGTAGAGATGCTGCAGGTTGGTATGGTCTGCACAGCAAGATTACCAGAAAAGAGACCAAGCATGATTGAGGTAGTGAGAATGGTGGAAGAAATAAGACCAGACAAACTAGCCAGCGGATACAGATCAGAGGTTTCCACAGGCGCAACGACAACTCCAATTGGAAGTTTATCAGGATCGCCATATATACTGTGAGAAAGACTATTCATCTTTCCTTTATGTATTTGTTCAGAAAAGGATTTCATTATTTCAGTTCAGTCTATGAAAAGGCATAAAGCTACCTAGCTTAACAAAAAAAAAAGGGGCCAGTGAATGATGTAAATATTGATCAGTCACTCTCAAGAAAGACCCGAAAAGGAACTCAGTTCACACATGAATTTAGATAAACAAACTTCTTCATATTAGAAAAGGTACATAGTTCTTTCTAGGGAAGAAGAGAAAACAAGATGAAACAGAATATAATAAACAACACATACCACCCTGATTTCATCTTTTAGTAGCCAACAGGAAAGAATCCATTCACATTTGAAAGTCGAAACAGGTCTTACTCGTGGTCCCTCAAAGTCTATGAACAGCGAGGAAAGTTGAGATGTAGTCACTTCCACAAAAATTTGGTCTTGATACCCCCTGAAAAGGAGTAGCAGTGCTTGATGAGCAAAGGAAACATCCACAAACGTAGATGGATTCAAAAACATAATGTTAGAATATGAGTAACTCAAACCTTCAGATTCCTCAAAAGAAACTTCCTTTACTAATGAGGCCGAAGCATTGTACTCAAATCTGGAATAAACAGAAGAGGAAACAATTATCAGCGTAAAACACAAACTGCACATATAATCAAAAGCTGAGCTTTACTATATGAAAAATATTCAACATGTTTCTAAGGACTACTATTGTGACAACCTTTTGAAAAAGTATCTATTGAAACTAGAACCTGTCATCAAACAATATTTAATAAAACCCCTTTGATAATTTGCTAAAGTTTACAGCTCTAACTAGAGGTATTAGTTGTAATCATGTATAATTTGAAGTACTAAGTTCAGCAGTTATCCCCTAAAGTGCTACATCTTTATTTTGTTCCATAAAACTGGATCTTCTGGTGTCACCACTAATAGCCAAGTCACATAAGAAACAAAGCTCGCTACGTTTTAGAGACTAAAACGACCCACATCAGTTGCTCTCAGCAAGACAAGAGCTAGAATTTCAATTTATCAGGAAATGAGATAAAAATAAACAAAATAATTATGTGCGTTCTAAAAGGAGACAAATAAAACCAGGTTAAACATTCACATAAAGAACACAGGGACAACAAAAATTAGATCCAGTTACCTGTTAGAAAGAAGCACTTCAAGTTCATAGTCAGATGCACTTTTGGTCACATCTACCATAACCTGAACAAGTTCAGTCTTTCTAGTGCTGGCCATGAATAGATCATATTCCGTGGGAATAATGATAGCGAAGAAGTTATCGCTCAATTTGCTCAAACACATCTTCTCTACTGCTGCCAGGGCTATTCTCCTGGTCATAGCTTCAGTCTCAGGATCAATTAGATAGATAGCAAAGTCAGTGAGTATAAAGATACGCCTTTTCATCTTCCCGGAGCCAGTGAACTTCAAAACTTTATCAGCAAAAAGAATCGACGTGTCGCCTATAACAAATAATCACCTTCGCAGCATCAAGACACTACTGATATGGTGAAGCCAAACATACGCTATCTAAAATATCACATATAACTCAAACTACAGTCGATTCCACAATTTTACAGCTGATTCAACTATGACTGCAACTTCAATTCACAATGCATGACAAGATTAAGAAAAATTTAAACTGACTCAATACATTAATGTATCTAGAGAGCAAACAGAGGTCATCTAATATCAAATAAACTAGATCCAACTATGAGATATCAAACAAAATATAACGTATTTCGAAAATTTGATTCATCAAATCAAAAAGCAAAACAGAAATGGAGCAACCAAACCTTGTTTCTCCAGAATCCGCATCAATCCAGGACGCGAGGAGACGTGGAGATAATCACCACGATGCTCTCTATAGCGAGACGCTTTCCTCCTTACTTTACCACCAGCGAAAGGCGTCTGATCTCCTCCGCTTACTTCCACCGCACCATGATCTTCATCTCCGCCATCAAAATCAGGCGGAGGAGATTCGTCACCATCGTACTTCGGCCGCCTTTGCACCTTAGACCGGTCCATCCCTCACGGCGGCGATGACTCGGAATCGATATCGGAATCGGTTTACTCTTTTTATCAGATGACAGATTCTTCCTTGAAAAAATCTCCAAAGTGAGAGAGAGACGACGTGTCTTCAAACGATTCGTTTAATCAAAAAGATGAGATCTCAGCCGTTAGATCATCTAACTTCATCGCAACGACGCGTTTCGATACCACTTGCTTTTGAAATTCAAAGGTAAGACCTCAACCGTTAGATTATATGACTTTCATGCCACTTGATTTATTTCTCTCTTTTCGAATTTAAAGATATGATCTCAGCCGTTAGATTATCATGACTTTTATTGTGGCTTTGCATGCAACTTGATGTTAATAATTTTTGTAAGAACGGCCGCGTCGTTTTAAAGCTGAGTCCACTAGTCAAAAGAAAGTATATATGGTGGACGTGAGCACAGAGAATAATAACTTTATTTTCTTCCTCTTTCGTCCACCACCATCTCTTTTTTGCTTCTCTCTCCCTTAAGTCTTGGTTCTTCTTCTCCCTTAATACGAGAAGAAAAAGGCGAAAACCTCGCCAGTCCGATTACGCGAAAAAGCTCGAAGGTATTATCTCCTTTAGCTTTTGGATCTATCGCTTATAATTCTCACGGATTTGTAGCTTCTCCGATCCGTTTAGAATCTTCGTTTGATTTTTTTTGGAATTTTTTTTAGGTTTTTGGATATGGCGTCGAAGCGGATCTTGAAGGAATTGAAGGATCTCCAGAAGGATCCACCTACGTCATGTAGCGCAGGTAACTCTTTTGTGTTTGGATTTAGAAAGTGTTTTGTTTATCTGAGCTGGTGTTGATAGATCGGGTTTTTGAGTTTGATTTTGATTGTTCTTATGCTTGGATTCGTATGGATTTGGGTTGTTTTGTACCGATCTCAGCTAAGTAGTTGGTATATCTCGTTTCTGCTGTCTCTAGCGTTAGATCTTATGATTTCGAGCTTCAAACTCGTTTCATTTGGGGACTTTCTGGGATTTTGGGTGGGTTATCTCTTTTGTTGTAAAGACCTTGTGTTTGTAGGCGTGTGATGTTGAGTTTGTTTTTATCTTCTTTTTTACAGGTCCTGTTGCTGAAGACATGTTTCATTGGCAGGCAACGATAATGGGTCCTTCAGAGAGTCCTTACGCTGGAGGTGTTTTCCTCGTAACCATCCATTTCCCTCCGGATTACCCATTCAAGCCTCCTAAGGTGATTCCATTGTCTTGAGAAATGCTAATTTGGTCTGTTTCGTTAAAGCTTGTGTTTCCTTCTTTGTGGTTGTGTTATTATCTATCTCATTGTTCTTTCATATGTTTTGATGACATCTAGGTTGCCTTTAGGACCAAGGTGTTCCATCCCAACATTAACAGCAACGGTAGCATTTGCCTCGACATCTTGAAGGAGCAGTGGAGTCCTGCACTCACCATTTCCAAGGTTCGGTTTGTCTTACTTTCTGTAAACATTAGAATCCTCCCATCCTGCGTTAACAAAACAATCTGCTCATATTATAAAAATGCTTTCACTGCTCGATTCCCATTTGAAGTGATAACATTATGTGCTGTCTTCATCAAGCTTTGACTCATTTATGGATGAAAATGGTTGTTTTCAATTATCTGCTTCTCTTTTGCTCGTCTCTCCTGTTGAAAGTGAGAGCATTGAGGATTTAAGCTGTCTCTTAAGTCATAAGTTTAAATTCGTAAAGGATGAAAATGGTTGGTTGTTTCCATTTCTAACTAGTTTGCAATGGAACAGGTGCTGCTATCGATCTGTTCTTTGTTAACTGATCCAAACCCGGATGATCCTTTGGTGCCCGAGATAGCTCACATGTACAAGACTGACAAGAACAAGTACGAGTCAACTGCACGGAGCTGGACTCAGAAGTATGCCATGGGCTGAAATGGAAAATCCCACCTACTTAATTATCTCTTTATGAAAAAATCTGCCTTAATTTCTTATGTATGATTCAATAGACCTCTCTGTCCTCCTGTGTCCTCCTTTAACTTTTCTGAAGACGCGACCAAATGAAATGGGTCCTGTTTTAAACAAAACCAAGAAAAAAAAGAACATCATCTTTGTGAAACTAGTAACTGAAAAATCTTCTGGTGTTTTCGTCTTATGCTGAAATTATGATTTGATGTTTCTGTTGTGTTTTGTTTTGTTTTCTAGTTGAGCTACGATTTTTCAATTTATTTCTGTCACAAGCTTCACAATTGGGTAAATGACTGGTCTCCTGTTGAAATTATTAGCCAGTGTTTATTTTCTCCTCTGTCGTTGGTGAAAATGTTTCACACAGTCCCTAACACTAAGCACTTGTTCGAACACAGATGGTGATGATTCAACAACAGTACCAGTACTTCTCAACCACTTTTACCCATATAAAGAAAGAGTTAACAAAATTAACATTGTATGAGTTTAACGAAAGTAACATGTAATTGAAAAGCCCATGCTCTCCAACATCTAGACTCCAAGTGTGGTTCTCTTCTTCTGAAATGCTGGTCCAGATCCTAATCTCTTCATCTATATGATCGTTGAGTTCGGTTGATGATGGTTGCTTACAAAAAAAAAGGACAATAAAAGAAGAAAGAAAAACCAATCAACCATACAATTTGGTGAAGTTGAATTGTTCGACAATACGCTTAAAATAGTAAATAGCATTGATTATGTGCAATGTGAGTGGTAATTTCGTTAAGCTGAATACTTTTATTAATCAACTTTTTGCCAATTGACTAACTAAGATGTAGAAGTAATGTATGGTGATCATCACAGGGCCGGGCTGGGTTAGAAAACCCTTTTTTAACATCCCTAGTGAATCAGATAATGGTTTGGATTGAATTTAAAAATTCTATTCATGGGCTTTGATGGACCTCAAAACCAGCACTCGTAAATAGCTAGTAGTCTTTGCATTGACTATAGGTTTGATTTAGATATATATATATATATCTATGAACAATAAGTAGGCTACGACACTCTAAGATTGAAAGCAATATAATAACATCAGTGTTCCATGTTTTTTTTCTTCGTTTTATTAATAATAAAAACTGGGGTATTCCATGTTCCATATGTTAAATAATTGTGGTAAATTAAATAATAATTGCACGGTTAAAGAGACATTTACAAAATGAATAATTCGTCAAAAACGTAGGCTGCATTAACTTTCCGATTCGGTTTCTTCTTTCCTAAATAGCGATAACTAGTAAGCAGTACATATTGATTTCTTTTTGCTGCGAAAATTGTAATCAACTTGCAAATCAGCTGCATAAACAGTGCTAATCCATACTTAAACTTTATATTTTATACGTAATATTTGTGTTACCGGATGTTAGTTAATCCTAATATCTTACAAACATATGTTAAATCAGATGATATGTGTGTAAATAAAAAATAATAATTAAAAGACGTAAGTTATGTTTTATGATTTAATAGAATATAGTTATGAATCAATTAGTTATGACATATGTAAAAACTTTTAAAATTTTCGTGTTCAAGTTTTGAATGTTAAGAAAATCAAAAACCTCGAAACAATGACTAAGATTAGTTATCCTAGATGGCTAAATTATGCACAAAATATAACTTGAAACATATGTGAGAATTTCCCAAGAAAACAAATATAAGTTTCAATACTTAGATCACAATAATTTCTAGAATCTTTCATAAATATTTTTCGAGAATTTCAACATAGTTCTGCAGTTTTGGCATCATTAAGAACTCATGATGAATGGTATGGTACTCAGTTACTCACCAAGTCACCACCATATAATAAGAAGAAAAACTCGCATGTGAACTACACATTTATGTCAAATTTTATAAAATATTTCCCAATGAAAATGTAGTATCGACGAAATGTACTAGTTTTAGCAAAAAAAATTCACCCAAAGTTAACGTTGTTCTTTTCGTTAAAAAGATAAGTTTTTTTTCACTTTAGTAAGCTGTGGCACAATGTTTTTGGAAAGCTTTGGCACAATGTTTTTGGAAAGCTTTGGCACAATGTTTTTGGAAAGCTTTGTAATATACTAATTTGCATCGTTTCTTTTATTAGTGTAAGCTTTTTATAATTTGTAACACCAATACGATTATATTTATATATACGTGTGTATGTTTTTCCATTGGTCTTACCGAGGCTTCTTTCGAGGTCTAAATACGTAAACTGGTTTTATTGTTTCCACTACTCAAGCACTACTTACTTACATTTTCATTTTTAAAACCTAGATTTTTATTTTTATTTTTCTTTGCAAAGTCTCTCGTTGACGTATGATGGACCACTCGCAGCCACATGGAAATAGCAGAACCACATAAGGTCTTTCTTCTCCTCAAGGTTTCATTACAGTTGCATTCAATAATTTTGTCTTTACTTAATTATTCTTCGTTTCCTAATACTTACTAGCTACTTATATAAGTAATAATAATCAGTATGTTGCTTTGTTATAAAATAATGTCACTCGATCGAAGAAGAAAGAAAATACATATTGTATACTGTTTAATTCCCACTATTGATTAGTTTTGTACGAAAAACCTTTTTTTTTGTAAAATGATGGATTTAATATTGATTATCAACCCACACTGTAATTTTAAGTTCATGTGTACTAAAATACGGAAAATAGTTTTACTAGCATTTAACTATTAGACAAAATCAGCTTTTAAGAAAAAGGCTAAAATTCGAGTCTCTTACACGACAACTTCGAAGATGTATCACTTAAACACAATAAATTAAGTTTTGTAAAGAATCTAACCATAAGTTTTTTACTTTTCTATATGACAATAGAATTTTTGCTAGAGATTATTTAATTGTTGCGAACATGCAAAATGTTATGTGAAAGTTGAAAACCCATACAAAGAAATATATAAGAATTCCAACTACACGTGTCAGTGATTGGACTAATGATAAATCTATGTTCCAAAGTCTCCATAACTTAGAAACTAAATACATTTCTTTATAGTTAAAAGAGAGTGAGGTCGTGCTCAGAAGAGCATGGTCCTGAAAACCAGGTTTGTAATTAAAATAAATTTGGTTTAACTCAATAATTTAGTCTGAAAAGAAGAACATAACAGCCTGAGATTAAGACAGTTTTCTCACACTAATAATCTCCCTTTTTGTTTTCTAGTGAAACACAGAATCGTAAGCTTGGTGGCCTCCACTAATTAATGTCATTAATGACGGTTAATTAATGTTTTAATCAATGCTTAATGTTAAGTTACTTGTTGTTAGCTTAAATGTCGAAACAAAAGAACCGTTAGCTTCTTTCCAAAATCAAAAACTAGACTCATGTACATTTGTTTATTCGTTACGTTGGTATCTCATTTTAACTATAAGCTATATAACACCACCACAGATTTTGTAAAATATAGTATCGTGCAAAAAGTTTATTGTAATTCAAACAAAAAAAAAGAAGAGGGTTTAAGATGTGATTACATATTGAGATTATAATTTCCTATATTGAAAATGATATTATGGAAATTTGTAACCAAAAATATTATATTTTCTAGAGATTATCAAATTGTTTTATAGCTAGCCGTTATTGCGATATAAAGTTATTAAGATAAAAAGTTTTGACTTTTTAGCCAAATTTGGCTTTAAGTTGTTAGAACAGTTTCCCGGAGAAATTAGTCAAAATTATTACTTTCATTATTATATAGCTTAAGTTTATTTTTGGTGTGGCTTGCATGTTTAAAGGCAAACAAAAGAAGATTGTTTCACAATAATTCTCCTATTATTAGGGCTTTTCTCAAAATCAGCAAATACAAATTCAATGAACTGATTCACCCATTCCATAAAATGATCTAACAACTTTCCCACATATATGAAAATCTTCTAGTTGAAAACTAAAAAGTTTTAACTTTTCTCTTCTTCTTTTTTTTTTGATATAGTAAAATCATTTTTTTCTAGTACTCAAGCCTATAAAATCATTATAATTTATAACTCCCCTTAATAATATTCTTATTTTCCGAATTGGACTTTTGGTATAAGTGTATGACCAATGAGACTATATGATCTCACGGTCCTGCTATGTCAGAAGACCTGACGTGGCAGAATCAAAACCGTCAGTGGAGAGATATGTGAAGTTGTCTCACGTGTGTGTGACTGTTATGGAGTATGGACCGAGTCTGTTAACTCACCAAATAGTTACTAAGCTGTGATTATGATGAGACTGAGACAGAGAGTACTCTAGTTAATAGTGTTTTACTGTTGATTTGTATCTAATTATATATTAATTTTATGCTTAATGCCCTTTTAGACCTTCCAAAGTAGTATTCTCGATATTTTCTTTAGTAACAAACATCTAAAATAAGTATGTTCAGTTTCCACTCAAGATGATGATCTTTTCGATCTATATTCACATGGGTTCAATCAAATATTTTTCTCCACTTCAAATTGTCTAATGTTTTCTATTATTATTATTTTTGAAAATTTTATATTTTTCTCATTGTAGAATTTCTTTTTTTATTATTTTCTTAATTTACTCATATAACTTAAGTTAAATAATTTTATTCGCAATCTTATACAAAACATAATAGATTTTTTAACTAAAAAATTATAGTTTTGATCATATGGGTAAAGAAATGTAAAATTTTTAAAATATGAAAGAGAAAGTTAATAGGCTATATATAAATTAAAATTTTCTAATATTAAATTCATGTACACTAACAAAAAAAGTCATATTAACATTTACACATTAAAATACTAATTTAAGTTTATTAACTTTTAAAAATCAAGATCTAAATAATTGATGATTATTTTTAAATACATCATACTTCCAATTCCCATACCATATAACGTCTATTTTTGTTAAATCAGAACTTTTTCTCGAATACTATTAGTTTATATCATACTTTTCATAGAGTCACCTGAAAAGAAAAACTTATGATTGTTATCTTTAATGAAGATAAATTAAGATAATCAACTAATATAATGAAGCTTAATTACGGGAGCCTGTTTAAGAAGTTACTGTAATAATTAGTACAAAGTTAAAGACATAAGAGTACATATAACATTATAAGACCAACATCGCTTGCTTCTAAACCAAGACTGCCATTGAGAATGACTTGAGTGCTACTTTACAAGCCATCATCACCTTACTTCTTCTTCAAGAAACATATTTACACACATTCTCTACTTATTAACCTTGGAAAACTCGACACTCTGACCTATTTTG